TAATATTTTCGAGATTAATTTATCGAGGTTCTACTGTACATCCAACGAAATACATTACATAAAGGAAACCATTATACATAATTACATATACAAAAAAACACCATGTAAGTTGGGCTAATGTAGAAAGAGAATCGGTACTCGATATAGAGTTCGACTTGTTCGATTACATTGATTACTTGGATTAAATTGCATTATAATCATTCTATACTAATCTAACTAAGTAATTAATTAATTAGAAAAGCCCTAATTGAACTCAATTAGCAAAAAAACTACACAAGGAAACACATTATGCTGAGAGCATCACAATATGTTTTTTAGTTGCTTCGAGGATCAGACTTACAACCATTGGATGGGTCCCACAACACATTTATAAAATCAATAAAAAAAAAGTGAAAATTCAAGAAAATAAAAGAAAGAGGAAACTATTTCTTAGTACTACTACAGTTGAAGAAAAATCAAGCACATCATTACTACTTACTTCCGGTAGGGATGAAACCTACCACCGGCGGCAGGGGCATTTCCGTTTCCATATCCTTTACTGCTCCCATATCCACCAGAACCACCTCCAGCACCACCACCACCGCCGCCAGAACCCCCGCCAGTATACCCTTTTGTAGGGCCATACCCTCCACCATTGCTGCCACTGCCTCCACCACTAAAGCCTTTACCACCATCATATCCACCACTAGGGCCACCATATCCTTTACCCAACCCGTAACCAGCAGCTCCACCATAACCAACCGGAGCTCCATATCCACCACCACCACCTCCATAAGCACCACCACTGTACATCGGTCCACCAAATCCATACCCGTAGCCGTAACCACCATACCCTGCATAATATCCTGCAGCCCCTCCTGGATAACTACCGGCAAAGTTCCCATAACCCCCATAGCCGCCATAGCTACCACCACCATAACCACCACCATAGCCTCTACCCATTTTACCACCACCATAGCCGCCTCCAAAACTTTCTAAACCACCAGCAAAATTACCAGAAGATTTCAAACTAGTGCTCCCACGGTGAAACCGGCCTTCAGTTGAATGGTCGAAACCAGATCTCTTCGGCTCGGCTCTTTTTATCTCAACCTGTAAATTTAACAATTGATGTTACGCCACATAATAATGATATACGCGCAGATGTAAAGGAGAAATGTTATAGACTCACTTGTTTTCCACTAATTTCATGCATTTGACCATCAGAGAATATCTTTTCAACAGCATCTTCACTCTCAAAAGTCACAAATCCAAAACCCCTAGACCGACCCGTTTTGTGATCCAGCATAATCTGGTGCTCCATAATGTCACCATACGAAGAGAAGTACTCCCTCAGATCATCTACATTACAATATAATTAAGTATTTAGTGAATAAATTTCGATTTGCTATATCGTAAAAAAAAAAAAAGTAATAGATAATGTCAGGTAAGAATACCTTCATTCAATGACAACGGAAGACCACCGACAAATATTTTCTTCGTCTTTAACACCCCTCTACCTTGAACGTCCTCTCTAGGAACTGTTCTCTTTACTTCTACCTGATATGTAACCGTAAATTAACGTTCTGGTCCAATAAAAAAAATATTATGCGTAAATTTAGGTCTTGGCAGAATTTTGAAGGATTCCGTACCGCTCTACCATCAATGACATGGTCTTCCTGTAAAACTTTGTCAGCAACATCTGCATCAGCAAATGTTACGAATCCGAAACCACGTGGTCTTCCCGAGATTTTATCCATCATTATTACAGAATCTGTAATTTCTCCATACTTCCTGAAGTATCTGCTGAAAGACTCTGCAAAGGAGAATGATGAAGATATATAAGAATAAAATATGGCATTATCTTCAAATGATGCGTCTAAAATCAATCAAAATGTTTCAATGAAATCACTAACAGTGAGAACTATCGTTCGCCACAGTAACCTTAGTAATCCCATAGACCAAATGACAGTATAGAGATTATGATCACTTAAAGCACATATTGTTCAAAAATGAAACCGCAAATAACCTAGCATGTTAAGAACGATTAACTGGTGTTTAGACATTTTGCAGAAACAGCACATAAGCCAAAACGGCGGACCCCAAATACGAGATCTAGGCAAAACCGCAACTCATCCCATCATATAACTAACTGCTAGATATCCCAACAAACAAATTCTTTCACATAACACTAGCAAGATTCAAAGCTTCGACTATAAATCGCCCGAAGGTCTTGCAAAACTAAACACATTAAAATTAAAATATCATCAAACCAATCACGAAACAAATATATCAAAGACGGGATAGACATTCTTTACCTTCGGAAGTCTCCCAAGCAATGCCGCCAACGAAAAGTTTTCTATCACAACAAAAAAACCAACAGTTACTACAATTTCTTTTTGTTCTTCACATGTCTCTATTTTTCTTTCGGATCATCAAATCAAACCCCAAAACCCAATTTCTCACACCTCATATAATACACAATACTAACACTAAACTAATCAAAACATTTCATCAATCCAAACATTGACCTATTCGACACAAACTAAACTAACCCTGCAGAAGAAGAAGAAGAAGAAGAATCGTGCTTCACTCCTGCACTATCATCTACGTTATCAATTGAACCGTAGTTCCCCTCTTCAGCTTCGTAATGCCGCCGCGCTTCATACTGCGGTGGTTCCTCTTCGCCGTAATTGGCGATGTTCTGTTCCGGTACACCGTAATCCATTCTTTTCTTTTTTTTTTAGAATTTGTGTTCCTATTCCTACCTATACAAACAGAAAAAAACAAATTTATCGAGGGAAACCCTAATCAAAGACCTTAACCTGGATAATAACAAATTACCTAACACGATAGCTAGCTAGAATTTTTCTTTTTTTTTCCCTATTTGTTGACGATGAAGGGCAGAGATTTCCAGCTGCGATGTAATTTTGGGAACCCTAGCTTTCGCTCCACTTTTTCTGCAGCTGATTTGTTTTCCCTTTTCTAATTTCAGAAGATGGAATTTTCTGATTTAGGACTTCCTTTTTATACTAACTTTTTCATAGTGGCAGTCACATTGGGCCTTGGGCCTCGGGCCTTGGGCCTTGGGCTCAATAATTCATTTTTTAATCTTTGTATAATTGGGCGGGCTTTGGGCTTGCGCTAAATACTTATATACGAGATTAATTTGGACTGAAGTTAATTATTTATGAATTGACTAATTATTTAATTATTAAAAATGAAATGATTGTTGTTTAATTTCTATATTTAAATAACGATTTTTAACTTAGAATTAGGTGGTGTTTGCAAATGCTTTTTGAAAGTGATTATGCGGTTTTTTTTGCTCATAATCTGTTTTTAGGTGTTTGCAAAATCAACTTTTGCTTTTGATTCTCTTAAAATAATCTGCTTTAAGCTATTTTTCTAAAAGCACCCATAACCCTGCTTTTTCAATTTTAGTTCATTTTCCGAAATATTTGCAAACACCCCCAACTTTTAGAAATAAGCACTTAAAACTAACTTAAATCACAATCACTGACTTCTGCTTTTAAATAATCATTTGCAAACACCACCTTAAAATGAGAAAAAAACATCTAAACTCAAAATTTGTCTTCAAATACTAATATTATTTATTTGATAGTAATTATATTCTATTTTTTTTTATCATTTTACAAACAATCATTTTTAAAATAATTAATCAGCTTATACAAAATAAAAATATGAAATTGCATTAATTAACAAACGAGCCCTTAAAATATCTGAACACAAAAACCTACGTCATTAAAACCTCTTAACTTTCGTCTACCAGTCCACCGCTCTATTTCCCTCCTCCCTCTCTTTCATAAATTCCTCTTTTGTCGATACATAATTTTTCCTAGGTTTTCGATTTTCGATTTTCGATTTTTGATTTTTGATTTTTGATTTTCCCCTTTCTCTCTCACGAATCCAATCATGAGTAACCCCAAGAAAGAGAGCTTCGATATGTCCGATTTCGACTCCTCCCTCCCCGCCGCCGCCGCCGGTACTCCCCCCTCTTTCATCTTTTCCAATTTCCAAGTACTACTGTGTGTGTGTGTGTGTGTGTTCGTGGCTAATTGTTGTTGCGGTATTTATTTGTTTTACATATGCAGCTTTGAGTGCAGAGGATCGTGCGGGTTTAGTAAACGCCCTTAAGGTTTTGATTTATGATTTTCAATTTTCCCGATTGTTGTGGTTTTACATTTCTCGGCTGATTGAAGTTTCATAATTTCGGTGTGTAGGATAAACTGCAGGATTTGGCTGGGCACCACGCTGATGTTATGGAGACTTTGTCGCCGGAAGTGAGGAAGCGCGTTGAGACGCTTAAGGAAATTCAGGTGTTGTGTGATCTTCGTTATGTTTTTTTTTTTCAGAATATAATCCATCGATGATTTACAGTTTGGTGGGGTGGTATTGTGATTTTGGATACTCTTATGCTGATTGTGTTGTTGGTTGAAAATCGTATGATGGGTTGAATGGTTGATTGTTACTTACCATGGCGATTCATTGTTTTTTAAATGTTCCGTTTCTAGTCTGTTTCTTATTTGGATCATGAAAGAGCTTGTGTTTTTCATGTTGTTGTATTGATTCTTGTGCTGATTTGTTGTTAACAACCAGGATAGAGTTGTATATTAGTGCTGTTTCCTTGAGAGTGAATTTACTTCCCCCCCCCCCCCCCCCCTCAGCTGTGTAATTTCAACTTGCATGATGACTGCGTTACATCCGATAACTTTGGATCTTCACTCCCATTTTTTGTGAAGTTTGCTTCAAAAACCCCCTAAGTCATGGTGTTAAGCCGTAATAAACTGATCAGTGCTGATGGATGGAAGTTTGAAGAAATGATGATATGAGTTAGGTTTTCGCTAATTGGTTGCTAAAATAGTCAAAGGGGTTGTTAAAGAATGTCGATGCTGACAAACTTGAAGAGGGAAAAGAGTGGAGCCATTTACAAGATGGTGGTGGTGATCTGGCATAATAGACCAAGTAGTAAAACCTATATTATCCTTAGGGGTGGGCCGGGTGGCATGAGGTTGGGTTTTTGGGTAGTCCGGACTAGGTATTCGATTTTTCGGTTAGCGAAATATGTTCACGACATCCACCGTTGTTTTTCGGTTATCTAACATGTGTTTGTATGTACAGAGCCAACATGATGAGCTGGAGGCAAGGTTCCTTGAGGAGAGAGCTGCACTTGCAGCTAAATACCAGAAACAGTACGAACCTTTATATACAAAAGTAAGGCCAGTTGATTGTGCTTGCATGCACTTTCCGCTTTGAGTTTCCATTGTATTATTATGTGGCATTCTTGCAACTTCTACTCATTTCCTTCTTCAAACAAAATGCAGCGATTCGAAATTGTGAATGGTATTGTGGAAGTTGAAGGAGTGACTGATGTTTCAGTGGAGCAGGGAGAGGACAAAGCAAATGAAGGTAAAGCAAGGCTGTTTTTTCCACCCCTTTTCCCCAATTCGGCGACCAATAATAATCAACTACAGATTAGCCATGTCATTGTTTTATTTTCTAGGGTTCTTCATAACTAATCTGGCGCAACTAATAACTTGTTGAACCTCTCAGGTAAAGGTGTGCCCGACTTCTGGGTAACAGCAATGAGGACTAATGAGATATTATCTGAGGAGGTTGATATTCTTAAACACAATTTTTCTTCCTCCGATGATTTAACTTGAACTGAAGACTCATTCTACAATTTTGTTCAGATCACAGATCGTGATGAAGAGGCTCTAAAATATCTCAAGGACATCAAATGGTGTAAGATTGATAGTCCCAAGGGTTTTAAGCTTGAGTTCTTCTTCGACACCAATCCTTTCTTCAAGAATTCTGTACTGACAAAAACATACCATATGATTGATGATGATGACGAGCCCATACTAGAGAAGGCCATAGGGTAAATTCGACCAAGTTTTTTTCTCCACTTGTTATTTTTTTCAAAATTTAAATTATGTTTTTTCATGTTGAATTGGATTCCTTGTAGGACGCAGATTGAATGGTATCCTGGCAAATGCCTGACTCAGAAGGTCTTGAAGAAAAAGCCGAAGAAGGGGGCTAAAAATGCAAAGCCGATAATAAAGACTGAGAAATGTGAGAGTTTTTTCAACTTCTTTAGTCCGCCAGAGGTTCCAGACGATGAAGCTGACATTGATGAGGATGAAGTAAGTATGGTCTTCCCATTGTATGTTTAGTTTATAATAAAAAAACCCGAAGCTGTAGAATGTTTACGAAGTCTGCTTATTTTAATTGGTAAATTGTCACAACAGGCTGAAGAACTCCAAAATCTGATGGAACAAGACTATGACATTGGGTGAGTCTTACTTTGGGTGGATAATATGGCATTATGATTTGTCATTAAATGATTGGCTAAATATTCTGACACGATTTTTTTGCGCTTTTACAGCTCCACAATTCGGGATAAACTTATTCCACATGCTGTTTCTTGGTTTACTGGGGAGGCTGCTGAAGGCAACGAACTTGACATGGTGGATGACGAGGATGATGACGAGGATGATGATGAAGAAGATGAGGATGAAGATGAGGACGAAAATGATGACGATGATGATGAAGACGAAGAGGAGGTCAAAAACAAGAAGGTAAAAAGATCTTTTGGCAAGTAAAAGAAAATTTAGAATTTCGCTTATAATTTCATAGTTCTATTACCTGGGATATATATACTCACGTTAGCTTGTCTTTGTTTCGCCATTTCCCTGGAAAAAATAACCCTTTCAGCCTTCTGGACCAAAGGTATGATAATCGAATAATCGATTCAATTGCCAATTTTTGTATATTTGTGCTGATTGTGCATTTTGTGGTTTTACGAATGTATGGAAAATGTTTCTGCTATTGACAGAAAATTACAAGAGCACAAATTGCGGGAGGCCAAGAGGGGGAACGCCCTCCAGAATGCAAGCAACAGTAGGACTCGGTTACAGATAAACGGGACTGCGGAAATTGGTTCTTTTTCCTTCTATATTATGTCTCTTGCTTCGTTTTTTTTTCTCTCTTTATGGATGACATCGGTTTTCTATGGTGGTTGAGTGGAATATTTGAGATTTGAGGGATTACTGGAGATGTATTTTTGTTTGGTTTTTTTTGTCCATCCAATCTATTTTCTCTGTATTATTACACTGAGTTGACGGTTTTTGCGGTTTTTGCGGTGCGTTTGTATACCAGTCGAGCTTGAGTTTGTCGATTGTGCCAATTGCTTCCTAGATTTATCAAATCAGATTTTTGTGGGACTTACCTGAAAGAGATGGAGCATAAGAAGCGAGAATACAATTTACAATACAATTTACATCAACCAATGAAAAAAAAGGGGGTAAATCAAGTGATGACATGATATAGTTGTTCACTCGGTCGGTAAACCGGTATCGAACCGAAAAAACCGTACTTAACCGATTATTCGGTACAATAAACAATAAGAATTTTCGAAGTACAGAAATTCCGGTACGGTATTAGCGAACGAAAACCCCTAACTTGATCACTTGATTGCTTCTATAAACTGAGGTCAAACAAACATTTAACTATCGATAAATATAATTATTTATTTATACATTAATCTAAATCTATTATTTAAATACCTTGTAATGATCTATAATACAATAACAAAACTTCATAATTAACTTTCGATCATTTGCACCATATAACTCGAAGTTTCTAATAATTAGACACAGCCCCCTCCATATTTATAAAATATGAACACTGTTCATTTTCATTAATAAAATAAATAAATATCTATTTTTACGTATATTTCTTACCGCACAGTGAAAAATAATTATATAATCAAAAAATGATTTCCATTGGTTTATAATTATATTAATCAAAAAATAATTTCGTAATATAAGAGAAGTTCCGGGTCAAATCTGGAAATAACACTCGGATCGTCATCTTCCACAGTATAACTTGCATTTCTCTGTGAAAACCTCATATGGCTGTACCTCTGGCTTTGGGTTTTGTACGTCCGGTCACCACTCCATTGCTCCGTTTAACTCGCTTCGCAAATCCGTTTCTTCTCTCTAGAAATCATCAAATTTCCGCTTCGAGAAATGCTTCCTCTGCCTTCAATCGTATCATCCAAGCTTCTCTTCATTCCAGTCAGTATTTCTTATTTTATTTTATTAATCTCTGCTATAATGTTAATTTTTTTTTAATTCCTGCAACATTTTTATGCTCCTAGTACGCCGATCTTAGATTTTCCTTTTTTTTTCCGATTAATTTTTGTTACATGAAAAATTATTGTTATCTGGAATTAGTGGAGATCACAGTACGGGCACTTTATTTGGTTAAATTTAGGAAATAGTGATTCAGATAATTATCATTTTGATGCAGCTTTCTTCCAGTTTTAATTAATGGGTAGAAATCAAAATTAGAGAAGAATATCTTCCTTGAACTAGTATATGCTTCACCATAATGCATTACATGTTTGCTCATTTCCTCATACAGAGATCTTAGATACAGTGTGTTTGTATATCCGAATCCGACTCATTCTACTATTCACTTGTTGGTATACTTTGGGGGTTAACATGATTGTGTGGTCTTGTACGTGTTCTAACTCGTCGTTTTTTTTCTTCTCTTGAAATTGTACAGGTTCTGCGGGTGATTCAGTTGGAGCAAAAGAAAACGTCGGCCAATCTGAAATCATTTTCATAGGAACTGGTACTAGTGAAGGGATTCCGCGTGTGAGCTGCCTCACTAATCCTGATAAGACATGTCCGGTAATCGTTTTCAATTTGCGTACACGAAAATCTGCACAGTTTCTTCATTGATGTGTTGGATTTGAGCAATGGGATCGAAAACTAAGCATGTTGTTATTTGAAAATTAATAGGTTTGCTCCAAAGCTGTAGAACCGGGTAACAAAAATAGGAGACTTAACACGAGCCTTCTCGTTCGCTTCCCCAGGCCATCTGGAAAATGCAACATTCTTATTGATGCTGGCAAGTATGTTAAACATTCTTGCATTCTCGTTTACTTTACAGGTGTTACCAAAGTATGTTAACAAAGTCATCGTTTGAATTTCTCAGTTTATGTTTATCACTTCGTCTGGGAATCGATTAAAAAACTTAAAACAGCAACATTATTACATCAATAACCTTCAATGTAGACAATAATTAGAAAATCAACACAAAGAAGTAGAAGAATGTGACATAATAATTATATTTAGCTACACATGTGGGGATTATGACCAAACAAAATAACTACATCTCAGAGAACTTATGTCGAGTTTGACTATTGCTTTAGTATTATTTTTGCTAGTATTTGCTCACTTTTGACTAAAGATTCAGGCGAACTGGTAAAGAAGGCCTAAATTAAGTGAAATATAGTTTAATCTTCACTGCTAATCTAAACAGGATAAGGATTGGGTCGAACTGAGTTGAATTTACGTTCAATAATTTTTGCTGTGAAGCATGTGCTACATACTAAGCTGTCATCACTCAAACATGTTGCAGGTTTTTCTATCATAGTGCTCTGACATGGTTTCCGGCTTACGGGTAAGCTAACTTGATTTCAATATATGTGGGCTGTTATATACACTCTATTAACTATAATACTTATTTGCATGCATAATAATACTTATATATAATATTTAGCTTAAGTCCTCTAATAGGTTCAGAAGATGTTCAAATTCTAAATAAATTATTTGGGTGTGTGGCGGCAGTCTTAAGTGCTAGACATTTGCGTGTGCTTTATACTTCTAAAATGGAAGTCAAAGAACAGTGGTTGGTTGCATAACCTTTACCTCCTTATATTACTTTTTGTTATACTTTTTGTACCCACATATTTGTTCTCGACAGTTAGTGCTCGGTACAAAACCGGAAAATTTCAGGCTTTCGATTGATTTGAGACATGCAGCATGTACTTAGATAGTACAATTAAAGGCGATATTTATTGAGATTAATCTGCTATTCTTTTCTAGAATTCCTGTTTTAAAAAACAAGATTCTTGTCTGCAATTTATACGTTTCCATTCCATGTGATGCTTCTAGATTATCATATACAAGTTTCCTTATTGTAACGCAAGCTCCATCTTTGTGACTACTTTAATTTCTGTCAGGATAAGAACAATTGACGCGGTTATTATTACTCATTCTCATGCTGATGCAATTGGAGGTCTCTGACATGATTACCTCTTGATATTTACATGTATGATTGAAATCATCAAATGACACAAGTGTGTATAATATCGTAATATTACAAGAATTTGTTTGTTTTGCAGGTTTGGATGATTTACGTGATTGGACAAACAATGTTCAGCCTTCTGTTCCAATATATACAGCAGAGCGTGATTTTGAGGTTTCTTATGCTTTTACGAATTGTATCGCATACAAAAGTTTTATTCCATTTCCCATCTGCTGTTATTCTGAATATTTTCCCAACTCAATGTTTGATTAATTTTTATTGATATAATTTCAGGTGATGAAGAAAACTCACTATTATATAATAGACACAAGCGACGTCACACCTGGTGCTGCAGTTTCGGACTTGCAATTTAACATAATACAAGAGAAACCGTTCCTAGTACATGATCTTCAGGTGAGGATCTTTTTTTTTTTTTTCTTTTTGTGTGTGTGAAATGACGACATAAAAACATGAAAGTTATTCCGAAAGTATCTTCACAAGGAATCACTTTGATATATGTACTTATATTCATTTTAAACGGATTATTACAAACATCTAGCGAAAACCTATTATTAATCTTACTTAAGCTAGATTTTGAAACTATCTAGTTATATGCCAGTAAGTTACGTTATGAAGGCTTTAAAATTAGGACTTAAATATGAAAATCCTCGACGTTTTGGGCTTAGCTATAAAATTCATTGGGGTCATTTGAATGATCAAACTCAGCTCTACTGACTACTCGCATCGAAATACGCTCGGCTCATATACGACTCAGCCAAAATATTGAATTTCGGGCATGCTCTGATTGATTAATATCCACATAATTCTGTACTTAGTAGTTACTATTTTAGTCGTGCACAGAAATAGACATTCAAGTTCATAACTAAATGAATATCATAAGTAATTAATGCTGGGTACTCTCAGTAGGCATGCTCTTTTTCTGCTGCTTTATTCTTTGTATTTTTTGTATCTTGCAGTTTACTCCTTTACCAGTGTGGCATGGCCGCGGGTATCGTTCTTTAGGTTTTCGTTTCGGCAATATTTGTTACATTAGGTAATGTTCTAATTGTCTTTTGCTCCAGCTTGTTCAATTTTTTTTTTCACGAGTCTAATTATTTTTCATTTGTGCTTGTAGTGATGTTAGTGACATTCCAGAAGATACTTACCCTCTTCTCGAAAACTGTGAAATCCTTATTATGGTCTCTCTCCATCTCTCTTTCTCTACATATACATGCGTGTATATATCATGTAAATATTCATGAATTTGTTTGTATTTTCATAATTAGGATGCACTAAGACCTGATCGATCTTCGGCAACTCATTTCGGACTTCCAAGAGTAAGTTATTTATTCTTAATAAAAATAAAGTCAAATAAAATACTTCGTATATTAGCATTATTAATTCATGACCTTTTGAGTTCTAGTTTTGTTTGACACAAGATATAGCAGATGCTATATTAATTATTATTGAGCTGATAAAAATTGCGTAAATACTCTCAGGCCTTAGAGGAAGTTCGAAAAATCCAACCGAAAAGAACACTATTCACTGGTACTTCTTGAATAGCTGTTTTCGAGAATTATTATTATATATTTTTTTGGTTTGTGATTCATTTAGTAATTTCTTTGAAGGTATGATGCATTTGATGGATCACGAGAAAATAAGCGAAGATCTGATGAAGTTGAAGGAGACTGAAGGGCTCGATATACAACTCAGTTACGACGGGCTTCGTGTACCGATAAGTCTATAGCCTCTCGTCTTATTCAAACTTCTTTCAAATCAATTTTTGCCCATTGATACATACAGTTATGGTAAATCTATCTAAACTTAAACTTATATATATCACATACTTAATATTCATTTCCTTCTCAAGTTTCGGATTCATATTTCCGTACGATATATTATGTTCTTTTAAACATTTTTATGAAAATAAGATACGATATTAAGTTCAAAATAAGATAAACAATGCAGCAACAAATCACCAAAATATTAAAAAAAAAAAAAAATGATTCATTTGATGCTGATAATGGCTGCAGTCTTAAATCAAGAAAAAGTGATCACCGTACGATTTTTTTTATTTCCAACGAACGAAAACTCGAAATCAATTTCTCGGCATGTTTCTTGGCGTCAAACGGATTCAAATTTCCGTTCTCCGTAGGCTCTATAGGATCAACCGTCCCCGTCTTTACCCCTTTCATAATCGGCACTTTGCCATCTCTCGGTTTATACATTATGAGTAATTGTTTGAAATTTGGAACATCCCGATAATAATCACAGTCTGTATCTATAATCACCGTCTCAAGTGATGTGGCAGCAATTTTACAAATACTCACGATGAATTCATCTTCACTTGCACACCCACAATACCCAACCATTTCAATCACCTTTAGATTTTCGTGTTCGAACACATTCGCCTCTACTGCCGTTACTTCAGGGAATGGCATATGTCTTCTAATCTGTGTCACAAGGGCAAACACTCATTCAAATTACACACACACACACACACACACACATATATATATATATATATATACACACACACAAAAAGGAAATCGATAGAGTTCGAAGAGTACCAATGAATCGAAAGGCTTACAGCAAGGCACTATGTAGTTAATCTGTGACAATATGAAATATAGTATCAATTTAACAAAAAGAAATTCACTTGTTGATTCTTCAATTTTTTGTCGAAAATTCATTCAACGTAAGACTAAATACGAAGTCGAGACTTTATAGTGAAAATTACATTCACCTTGATTTTGAACTCTTGCAGTTGAGGAGAGGCTTTAATCAATGATGTCAAGAAGAGAAGGCTTCGACCAACTCGTGACACAATACTCAACTCCAGCCGCTTGAGAGCGTACAACTGAGGCAAATCACGAGGAACAATTTCTCCCAAAGCACTCTGAAAAGACAAAAATCGGGCGATGAAAATGTCAGTGAGTGATTGTTGCGACTGACATATAAATGAATGCAAACGTACCGCAGTGTGAAGATTCAACACAAGCTTTGACAGTTGAGTTGAATAGCTCGAATGTTTGTTAGGTTCGTAAACAAACGACTCACAAAACGCCCCACCAAGAGTAAGCTCGGAGAGATTCGGAACTTTCTTGAACGGCAAACCGATTTGATTTCCTTGGTACGTACACGAGACAAGATTTTCAACCGATATCAACAGGCTCTCGATGTTGCAACAGTCGGATATTTCCAATACTTTGAAATACGGCAAAGGGTCAACAAATTTGAGATCTTTCGTGGCATTCGAGCCCCTTATGCACAAATCTTCAATATAACGACAAGACTCAAAGAAAATACCCAACGACCTCATCGGTGATAGAAACATCGACCAATTTAATGGATCTTAGGGAGGTAAATCCATTAGCGGATCTTAGGCAGGAAGCAACAGAACAACAACCGGAGTCAATCAAACCACAATAATACTTGTAACGAGGAAATGGTACTAACAAATACCCAAGATCAGGAAATACATAATTGCAAGGAGATGTACCGGGTACGGACAAATCCAATTCCAATCTCTTTAAATCCTTAAGAATAACACGGTTTATCCAAGTATTAATGGAACTAAAAACACCACGACTTTCAGCTTTCTCACGAATACGAATACGAATAATCAGAGTTTCAACACTGGGAGACTTATGCGAACGTCGTAAAACTTGAGAAATGAAGAAGCTTAACTTATCTTTTGTCATAATTTTGTTTCCATTGGTAGTGATATCCCTATCGTTAAACTCCAACTTCAGATTCGTAAGCGTCCACAAATATCTCCATCTACGAGACAGAACGCTTGTCCTAACGGCATCTAAAATCTTCATACGAGACAAATCTTCATACGAGACAAAATGGCGATAAGTAAATCATCAGGTAACTTATCAATCACATTAGCAGTAGCATCAATTCCCTGCATTATGAATATTACTATTAGATACCCAAGTATGACTAACAAAATATGAAACCATATATATATATATATATATATATATATATATATATATATATATATATATATTACCAGCAACTGTTTCTTCTTTCCTTTTGTATGATTGTTTATCCACTTTCGTATTCTAGGGTTTTGTGGAATTTGATCCCTCTTATGCTTGTTCATCTTGTTCATGTTGGCACAGAAAGATGAGATTTTTTTTACCAGTTTTAATTAATAGTTCAGATGAGCAGCATAAGGAAGAAAAAGAATAATCAATTATTTATCCTACAAATAAATATGAATAGCAACAGAAAATTCGGAATTGAAACGCCTCAAAATTTGAATTAGGTTCTGAATTTATGTGGAATTAGGTTCAAACTTTGGGGATTAAAATTGGGCTCTGATCTCAAGTGTCGATTGTGTAATCGATTTAAAAACTTTATTTTTATTTTTATTTTTATTTTTAAGGGTAAATTCCAATTTCCCACCTTGTACCTTGGTTCGGTATTACTTTACCCCATTCTACTCTCGATTGCATTTTGCCCCCTATACTTGAAAAAAAACGACCAAATGTGGCCCTTGCTGTTAGTTGTCAACATTTGAGCTTAACAACGTTTGATCTATGCTTTGAAATTAAAAAGACGTCTCATCTCCCAGTTTAAATAATTACGAAAAAAATTTATAAATAAATAAAAAAAAATAATAAAAAAATTCAGACAACGAGAAAACATAATTTATGACGACATCCAATTTTTTTTTTTAAATTTTTAATAATTATTTAAACTGGGAGGAGTGTTTTTTTGTATTTTTCAGATTTAGATCGATCGGTGTTAAGGTCAAATGTCTGATAACTAACTACGAGGGCCACATTGAGATAATTTTTCAATTATAAGAAGTAAATCGATGCAATCGAAAGTAGAAGGGATAAAATGATATTGGGAGAAAGTACAAGAGAAAAAATTGGAATTTATCTTATTTTTTATTAATAATAATAAATAGTTCAAGTATCAATTTATTTAGGTCCACTGAATTATCAATCAGTTAACACACACACAATAAGTCCAACTTCAGCCCATTCATATCACTATCAATCCAATAGGAATTTCATATATATCCAAAATATTTCAAAAAATAAATATCCAAAATATTTGTTGACTCGTGAGTTAGCTCAACTCATTTATCATTTACACCTCGAGACAAAGAGTGTTGACTCAATAAATTCGAAATAAGTTGTACCTGGCCACGAGTCAAACAGAAACTCCAGTTGATAATTGCTAGTCAAGCAACTATATAATCTTATCAAATAAATAAATAATTGGATCAACGATGTGATTTAAAGTTGTTAATCTCATGATAATCACATCATTAGTAACCAATGAGCACTAAATTAGTTAGTTAATTAGGATTTCGAATTAAATAATGTTCAATTAGTCTATCAATTTGCATCATCAGTTTCAGCTTAAGAGCTAATCCCCACCACTAATTTATTTAACATCCACCACATACAAAATACTAGTGACCACCTTCACTTAATTAATTAGTTTCATATTTAATTATTTTTTTAAAAGCATCTTTTTTTTTTAATTAATTAAAAAAATGTAATATTTTATTACAGCAGATGAGCTGGAAGAGCATGTTGATACTTGGGTTGAGCAAGATCCCATTTCAAAAAACCAAGCCATTCAAGAATAAAACAGGATAATGACAAAACATAAGTATTTTTTTTATAATTTTATTTTATTTTAATATATCTTTCAACGACTATTATATATTAGTTGCTATTTAAATTTTAAAAGTTTCATCATTTCAAATAATTTTTGGGATTGGTAAAGTTTGGATCCCCATAATTATCAGCCTGAAAGAAATGCTATCTTATTCGTTGTTTAAGGCCTCGTTTGGTCGGTCAAGATAAGATTAATCAGGATAAAGTTAAATAATCTAACGACAATTCAGTTATTTTATCAGACCTCTGAGACGTCCAATAAAAAACTCCCAAAAAGACAATAAAAAATATAATAACATAATATTTGTGGGTCGATAAAACGACTAACCTTCCCAACCAAACGAGGCCTAAGAATTTTAATTTATGGGATTGTTGCCAAAAAGCATTAATCAATGACTCAATCATTCATACACACTGTAAAAAAAATGTAGAGAAGCTTGAAAGTAGTCTACTGTCAAGACTTTGGTTACTGTTTATTAATAATAATAAAATAAAATAAAATAATAAAATTCAAATCAAGAGTCTCTTTCTGTATCTGCAAATCATATACAAATGAACTCTTTTTTCTTTTTTCTTTTTTAATTAACATGGTGGGCTCTTTTTTATAAGAGAAGAGAAAGGTGGTGTGCAGTGGAGCCAAAAAAAAAAAAAAAAAGATTGAATTTTTATTAAAGCACATAAGTGTGATATAAAGAAAGATTAGATTTTTATGGGGTTTTGGAGAAGAAAACAAAAGTAGACAGAAAGTGCACGTCAGAGTTAGCCCTAGGGATGTGTTTTTTTTTTCATTTTATTTATTTTTGGAGGGATGGTTTTTTGTTTTGTATAATTTGCTTTCTTCTCATCCACACCTCTCTCTTTCTCTCTCATCAAACATACAGATAAAGAGATAGAGAGAGAAAGCTTGTTTTTTTGTAGGAGAAAAAAATAAAGAACCCATTGAAGGGGAAAATAGTTGGTGCAGACTGCAGAGGTGGTTTTCTTTTTCTTGTTTAATTTTGTTTTTGTTTTGTTTTGTTTTTTGTTTTTTGTTTTTTCAAGAACTCAAAACTAAAAGAAAAGGTTGTCTCCTGTGGTGATGCCAAAGTTTGAGGTTTAAGAAGAAGCCATAATCAAGAAACAGAAAAAAAAAACCTTTGAATGAACAAAAACTTCTTTTGCCTATTTTTCCACCTACTTTATTTTTATTTTTTTTAATTAGCCTTTTTCTCTTCTAGGTCAGTATTTTTTTTTTGTCTTTAGATCTCAAATATATCATTTCTTATAGCTACCCTATTACAAAGAAGCTGTTAAACATACACACTTACATTTCTATATCTATTCATTATCTACATATACATATATGTATCTCTATATATATGTATATATGTATATGTATATGTATAATTCCTTCTTCTGATATTCTTTTAGCTGCTGCAGAAAAAAAGATGATGAAAGGTTTAGCAGCTACAGTAGAAGAAAACATGTCCAATTTGACTTCTGCATCTAATGAACAAGCAAGTGGTTCTTCAAGCAGTAATAGAAATGACAACAATGGTGGAATCTATTTTCCTCCATTAAATCCACCTCAGCCACTCAAAAGGAAGAGAAATCAACCAGGCCATCCAGGTATATCTATATCTATATATACACACACACACAAAAACCAAGCTATATTTAAAGATTTTTTTTTTTTTTATCAAGATTCAATTTTTAATTTTCTTTTAAAAGACCCTATTGCAGAAATGAAAAAAATAATTTTCAACATTCAATTTTTTAATTAATTTTCTTTTTAACAGACCCTAGTGCAGAAATGATAGCTTAAAAAAAAAATCAAGATTCAATTTTTAATTTTCTTTTAACAGACCTTAGTGAAGGAGAAAAAAATTAAAAAAATCAAGATTCAATTTTTAATTTTTAATTTTGTTCGGCAAACAGACCCTAGTGCAGAAACGATAGCTTTACAGAAAAAAACATTTTCAAGATTCAATTTTTAATTTTCTTTCAACAGACAATAGTGAAGGAAGAAAAACAAAATTCAAGATTCAATTTTTAATTTTTAATTTTGTTTAATTTTGGCAAACAGACCCTAGTGCAGAAGTGATAGCATTGTCACCAAAAACCCTGATGGCAACAAACAGATTCGTGTGTGAAATCTGCAACAAAGGTTTCCAAAGGGACCAAAATCTGCAGCTGCACAGAAGAGGGCACAACCTGCCATGGAAGCTGAAACAGAGATCAAGCAAAGAGGTAATCAGGAAGAAGGTGTACGTGTGCCCAGAGGTGGGGTGTGTGCACCACGACCCATCACGCGCGTTGGGTGATCTGACAGGAATCAAGAAACACTTCAGCAGGAAACATGGTGAGAAGAAGTGGAAATGTGATAAGTGTTCAAAGAAGTATGCTGTTCAGTCTGATTGGAAAGCTCATTCCAAAACTTGTGGCACTAGGGAGTATAGATGTGACTGTGGCACACTTTTCTCAAGGTGTGTGTGTGTGTGTATTATTTTTTCGAACTCGAATTTATTTATTATTATTTATTAGTAATTTTCTTGAAAAAAAGAAATGATTTTTTTTTTTTAATTTAATTTTTAATTTTGGTTGAATTTAGTTAAAATTATTGAAGGGACATGAGAATTTGGATTGTGAAATGACCAGCAGCTTTTGCCTATTTTCTGGGGTCTAATCTAATGTAGGCATGAGATTTGACATTTTGCATAAGCAGTGTTTCTTTGTTCTTTTTCTGGGAATTCTTCTTTTGGGGTCTAATCTTTTAGGAGAGAGAGAGAGAGAGAGAGAGAGAGAGAGAGAGAGAAATGATGAAGACATTCTTGTTCGAGAGAATTGATGAAGCCTTGAGAGAGAGAGAGAGAGAGAGAGAGTTGATAAAGACATTCTTGTTAGAGAGAGTTTTTTCTAGAATGTGTTGTGTATTTTGTTGATTCTAACATGCACTTTCTTTCTTTTTTGGATATACAGGAGAGATAGTTTTATTACACACAGGGCATTCTGTGATGCTCTAGCAGAAGAAAGTGCAAGATCAGTACTAAGTGGTGGTGGTGGTGGTGCACCACCAGGTTCATCTTCAATATCAGCTCACCACCAGACGATCAATCTCCAATTTCCAAATCAAGAAATCCCATTTCAAAACACAATCAAGAAAGAGCACCATCACCACCACCAAAGCTTCACATTAATACCAGAGATCCAACAATGGCGGCTACCACCTTGCCCACCAACCATGGATCCACGTCATCACCACCACCACCACGTGGTGCATGGCGGCCCACCACTCATTGACCTCACCCCCACCCCATCATCATCATCATCCATCTTCCAAGATTTCCAACCAAACCCTAACCCTAGCAGCAGAAATGGAAATGGTGGAGGTGGACCCACCACCCCCCTACCGCCATACCACCACCCCCCACCACCACCACACATCTCAGCCACTGCATTGCTGCAGAAAGCAGCACAGATGGGCTCCAAAAGCAGCACCACCCCAGCATCACCAGCTGGTGCTTTTATCATACCCCACCACCACAACCAACAAGGTCACGTGACTGCTTCTGCTGGTCATGATTCTGATAGTACTACTGGTTTTGGTCTGAACTTGTCCTCACGTGATGACTTCACCCTAAATGGGTTGGGGAATAAAGCTGCAGCTTCAGCAGCTAGAGTCACAGGCGGTGATGGTAGTACTGTCACGGTCACAGGTGCGTCACCGCCAGGTGGGACTAACATCAACATCACAAACAACGCTTGTTCTTCTTTCCTTCATGAAATGATGATGATGAACAGTAGTAGTAATCTGCATGCCGGGTTCGAAGAAGGCGGCTCGTCTTTCGATGAAGAAAGCTTCCGGTCTTTCCATGCAACCCTCGGTAACTTTAGCAGCACCAGATCATCAAACAGTGCTACTGCTAATGAAGGTGGTGGTGGGATTGGTACTACTAACGACGGGATGATGACGACGAGGGATTTTCTCGGGTTACGGCCGTTGTCTCAGAGCGATATTCTAAGTATGGCTGGTTTAAGTAACTGCATTAACACCGATAATAATAGTAATCATGCAGCTTGTATTAACGTCGACCGTGATCAGAATCAAACCACCGAAAAGTCTTGGCAAGTTTAGGCTGATCGATCGATGTTTCGTTTTTTTGTGGGCCCGTCTCGTATATCTTGAATCTTGATCATCGATTTTGTTTAATATTTCCCGATCCTCATTTTTAATTTTGTAAATCTTCGTAATGATAAGAGAGTAAGTAGTACTCAGTAGTGTTTGTTGAGAGATTTGAAACCCTATCTTAAATTAATGCTTTTAGTTCATGGAATCTCTCTCTCTACATTGATTGCTAATTTATTGAAATATATAGTCCCCCACCATATCTTGATTTCTGCCTTATGATTGAATATTCAATGCTTTTTTCACCATACATAAATACCTCTCTCTCTCTCTCTCTCTCTCTCTCTCTCTCTCTCTCTCTCTCTCTCTCTCTCTCTCTCTCTCCACTTATTCCTAAATTGATTGCATGGTAATGTATGAGTTAAATGATGTACGTATGGAATATAATCAATAAGGCATTCTAGGACGTGACATCTAATTGTCTAATAATAGCTAATAAATAAGTGATATTTTTCAACCTGAAATATAGCTCATAGTCGAGATTGAGTCAACTCAAACTCGACTCAAATAACTTAATTGCCAGCTCTACTCATAAATAAGTGATATTCTTCAACCTGAAAAAGGTCCTCTTAATTCAAACACCATGATTAAACATACACTTTAGGACAAATAGATATAGAGAATGATACATACATATATGCATACACAAGTTTTTTTCTTTTTTTTAGGTACAAAAGCATAGGATTCTTTCACGAGGAAAATTTTCTTGAAAAGTGCAAGTAAAAAAAAAACATGGTTATAGAAATAAATAAATAAATTTAATTTGCTGTTTGATTATTTTAAAAATATTTAGAAAAGAGAGAGATACTGTTTGACTCCTGATGTGGGGGTGCAAAAGTGGGTTCCAATCCCAAGAAATTGCCCATAAAGCTGCTACTTTTTATTTTTTATTTTTATTTTTTTATTTTTATTTTTTTAATTTTCATAATTCTTGATATTTATTTGTAGTACACATGAATATAGGGATGTCTTTTTTATCCTTATCTCTCTGCATATCTCATTTCCCCCCATGGGAAATAATAATATGGCAAAAGAATATAATCAAATTCAGTCTGTTTGGTTTCAACTTTTATGGGAATTTTTCAAAAATGTAGTCTTTTATTATTCCAGCCTAATTATATATTTAATTATTCGAGATAAGCCCATCAAATTAATTATTTCCTTTAATTTACAATCCATTTCTTTAACTAATATTTCGAAAGATATAATTAAATATTGTGTTGAAAAGAAAGTAGAATCAATGATAATGAGGATATCCAAAAAAAATAAAATAATAATGATAAGATACAAGTCAATTAATAATTATTGAAAAGAATATACATAGGTGTAAAAGTGTGTTTGTGTGTGTGTGAGTGTGTGGGATTAAAAAGTTCACATGCGAATTTGTAGTAGGTGGGAACAAAGCTAGCTAGGATGAAAATGACATGCAAATTATATAGCATATAGTGTTGTCACTATAATTTAGTAATCCAATTTTTCTTTTACAACTAAGAGCCCGTTTGGCTAACCTTATTTAAAACATCTTATAAGCTCCTACATCTGATAAGATGTTTTAGGAGCTGATAAGCTGTTAGATCTTATTTTAAAAATTATTTTTTAAGGTGTTTGGATATGTAGCTTATAAGTTACTTTTTGTTTTTATAAGTTGTTCAGGTGTTTGGAAATAAAAGGTCTGTTTATTGCTATAATGACAAAAAAATACATGACGCCAGTATAATTGTTAAACTTATTTGACTCAAATACTTTTGTTCCTAAAATATTATTATAATATTTACAAATTATTTTTTCAAATAATAATAATAATATAAAATTATATAATAATATAAAATAAAAGTTGTAAAAGAAATATAATTTTTTTTAGATGAAAGAAATATAATTTATTATGGAGATAATAAGAATATTCGTGTATTTTTATATACATATAAAATATAAATAGAGAATAATTTTTTTTTACAATTATTATGATAATTACGATAATTATATTTAACTAATTATTAATCTTGATTACAAGAATACGTTGTTTTGATAAAATATAAATATTATTAGTATTTATGTAATATAATAAAGTATTTGAGGGTAATTTTGTATTTTAAGTATTTTAGTAAAGAAGCAAATAAGATCTTAAAGAAAAAAGGTGGGGTATAGGTACTTTTTAAAAAACATCTTATAAGCTCCCTAACAGCTTATTTTTGGAAAAAATAAGATCTTTTGCAATTTTTTTACCAAACACCTTTTAACAACTTATAAGCTCCTAAACATCTTATAAGATGTTTTTAGGAGCTTATAAGCTTAGCCAAACAGGCTCTAAATCCAAAAATAAAATTTATAAATATGCATTGTCCCCGAATATTTTCCGATATTAACTTTATACATTTCCGGTATATTTTTTCCGATAATTTAGGAACTTTGTATTTTTTTAGAGTTTTGAATTCGGAAATTTTGAGTTCTCGAAATTCCGCTTTTTAGTGAAGTGGATATAGTTTTTACGATGTTTCTCGTAAGTACCTCGATGTTAAATATATTGTGTTGTGTTAACATTGTATAATAATCGAACATGTTAAATTCGGCTACGGGTCGGGATGAGCTTGTATTTAGATTAAGATGGGTTGGGTCGGGGTTTATGTTTTACACATTTTTCACAAGGGTAATGGTATATATAATTTTAGCATTTTAATTGCTAAAATTTCTTTATTATTACCAGCATTTTGTTAGGAACGAAAATTCAGAGAGAGAAAGGAATCAGAATTAACAATATAATGGGGCAGAACGCACGACAAAAAATTGGAATTGAAATTGGAATTAAAATTGGAATTGGAATTGGAATTGAAATTCATCATCCCTCTTCTATTTATCCTATTTATAGGCGCTAACCAACTAACTAATAATCAGTAATTAAATGCCAACTAAATGGACACGTGTCGCATCACGATTGATTACATTTAACTCAGCTGAAATACCCTAAACGGTGTCGTTTGTTAGCGGGTCAACCAAAAGAAATAGTAGAAACCGGGTATGGCCAAATGGTTTCGGGTAAGCGGGTCAATCCAACCCGATCGAAGAAGAAGAAGAAGAAGAAGAAGAAGAAGAAAGGAAACTCCGAAACTGGTGTTTGATTACTGCAAAGGCAAGCTAAATCAATCGTACAATCGATTAAAATGGCGGGAAATCGAACAGCGGCGGTGATTTTCGTGATCGTGATCGTGTTCGCTGCGTTTGCTCCTCTGCCTTCGTCTTCACATCGTTCTTCTTCCCAATTTCGTTTGGATAAAGTAAGTTAACTGTAAACATATTTTTCGTATATTTTTGCACATATATTGAAGAAATCCATCGCAAGTTATACTATTGCAGAATTAAACTTAGTATTATGAAGACCTTTAATTACTTGATGAGTGACAAAATCGATTGAGTGAAAAAATTTCCACCTTTAAATTCCTTGGTTTCGATTCATGGCAACTTGAACTCATAATGTAGGTTGCAACTTGCAATTGAGTTACAAGGTTGCGTATAATTTAATATTTATTTATTTATTTTAATGATAGGGAGGTGAAGAGAAATTTGAGATAGCAGATGACATGTTCTGGAAAGATGGGGAGCCGTTCAGGATAATCGGAGGTGACTTGCATTATTTCCGCGTTCATCCCGAGGTATATTTTGTCCGTGTGCAATCTTAGATTCTTCATTCGAATTACGACACATCATATGCTTGTTCTCGACAAATATGAACTAGAAATTAATTGTGCCTTGAAATCATTGTGAATTTTCCTTGTCCAATCTTAGATTCTTCATTCGAATCGCGACACATCATATGCTTGTTCTCGACAAATTTGAACTATAAATTAATTGTGTCTTGAAATCATTTTGAATTTTTTAGTTTCACGATGAAGTATTAATTTCTGTAAATAATGGGTTTTTTTTAGTATTGGGAAGATAGACTGTTGAGGGCAAAGGCATTGGGATTGAACACCATTCAAACTTATGTTCCGTGGAATTTACACGAGCCAAGCCAAGGCCATGTGGTATTCGAGGGATTTGCGGATTTAGTTTCGTTTCTCAAACTCTGCAAGAAATTGGACTTGTTGGTTATGCTGCGTGTTGGGCCGTATATTTGTGGAGGTTAGTTAGCGTCAGTGAATACCATATAACATTCCTTCTTTGTTATAAAATTCTGTTATTCTAAAATCAATAAATTTGCATCGCAATTCAAGTTTATAGTGAGCTGAAGGTTGACTCCACTGGATGGATTATTTAATATTAGGAGTCTTGTTATCTAATCGCGGTTAAAAATCGCAACCTATCATTGATTGGAAAAATGTTTATTTCGTTACTGCATACTAACATTAGCTTCTCCAATTTTATCTAGAGTGGGATTTGGGTGGCTTCCCTGGATGGTTGCTTGCTAAAGAGCCTCCAATCAGACTAAGATCTTCGGACCCCGTCTTTCTTAACTTGGTAAATATTATATATACATTGTTCATAACTATGTGAAAAAAATACCATTTGGTGTGTGAAGATGAACTATGTTACAGGTTGAGAAGTGGTGGAGCATCCTACTTCCGAAAGTGTTTCCTCTTCTTTACAGCAATGGAGGTCCTATTATAATGGTCCAGGTGGGCTAGAACTTATATAAATAAATCTGTTTTAGCCCAATTATCATATACACGGAAACACACTATTAACCTCGTTGTATTACTTTCAGCAGATGATAATATAAAGCAAAGTGATTCTCAGTTTACAGCTGCTAGTTTCTTTCAGAAAATTGACTTTTGAAGAACTTTTTATCATCTGAAATGCTGTAACCTTGTTTTGCTGCCTATTAAGTTACTTCTAGAAAAACCTTTTATTAGTTCAAACAAAACACTGTTTTACTTACAACTTTAGTTTGTTCATTAGAAATCTAGGTAAATAAGAGGAAATATTGAATGCTAACTAAATTATTTTCGATATTGCTTTCAATCCAAAACCATCATCTAGACTGTTCTTGTTTTAATGCTTTACTGGACTTTGAAATCCTAACGGATAGAGGTTATTCTAAATGAAAAGAAATGTAACAGGTTGAGAATGAATTTGGTTCATACGGGGATGACAAAGCTTACCTGCATTATTTGGTCAAACTAGCTCGTACGCATCTTGGAGATGACATAATATTGTAAGCGGGCCTGTACATATAGTTTAAAAGCTAGCTTTTCTTTTTAAGGGCACATTCATATGTGACTTATCGAAATTACAATGTTTAGTTACACTAGATTTAGAAGAAATTATGACTATATTGTCATGTTTCAACATTGGTTTTTGCAGGTATACAACGGATGGAGGTGCTAGAGATACTCTTGAGAAAGGAACACTTAAAGGAGACGATGTTTTCTCAGGTTAGATAACTGCAATACTCCCAAGATTTTTTCTGGACTTTCCATGTCAGTGATGACTTATATATCACCTATTCAAAATTCATAACTTCCTCTTTTTTCGTTGAAATGAAGTATAGCCAATCTCGTATCTTTCTTTACATTGAGTATGAAAAGTATGGGCTTCAAACTTTTGTTTATCTTTCCAGCTGTCGACTTCACAACTGGAGATGATCCATGGCCCATATTCAATTTGCAGAAAGAGTTCAATGCACCAGGAAAATCACCTCCTATTTCAACGTAGGTAACTTGATCGTTATTTTCCTAGACTTCCTCTTCTGATTAAAATATTATTTTTATGTTCAACACAATTATTATTTCAGCGAGTTTTATACTGGTTGGCTTACACATTGGGGAGAGAATATTGCAAGTACTGATGCAAGTTTTACAGCTACTTACCTGGAGAAGATTTTGTCCAAGAATGGTTCTGCTGTACTATACGTATGCTACTATACTCAAAACCCTTCATTTGTTAATAATTACTAGTTTATCACTCATTGGATGACATATGGCGTGTGTTCCAGATGGCACACGGTGGAACAAACTTGGGTTTTTATAATGGTGCTAATACTGGAGATAATGAGTCAGACTTCAAGCCTGATCTTACATCCTATGACTATGTGAGGACTATTTTACCAAATGTTTATGTTTTCTGATTGCCTGAACAATAGTTACCAGCATCTGTTTTTATAGGATGCACCTATTAGAGAATCTGGTGATGTGGATAATGCAAAGTACAAAGGTGAATCTAATCTCCTGTTTTTTCTGTTACATGTTTGTTTATATTTTGAAGGAAAACATGTCGAGATTTGGCTCATAAATGGTTATTGTCTCTATATTAATCTTTCTAGCTTTCTATTTTTATCCCGATGAAACTCATAGTGAGGTCTTCTATACCATCGGTTCTCAAATTATCCACATTCAAACTATGAAATCAGCATTTTCTCTTAATTTTGTAAGACTATTTATTCTGTCTTTTTTATAATGAACATATTGTTTCTTTCAGCTTTGAGAAGGGTTATTGCCAAATATAGTGCAAAGCCTCTTGCTTCGATTCCTCCCGATAATGAAAGAATAGCTTACGGACGTATTCAGCTAGATAAAGTTTCATATTTGTATGACATGATCGGTATGAAAGACCTTGTTGATTTGGTCGAGTCCGAGAATCCATCTTCAATGGAAGCTATTGGACAGGTGACTAAACATAATAAAAATAATATTCTATAGTTCTTCCAATTACATTTAATGAATAGATGATAAGTTAATGCTTTATTTCAATGTATATTATTTTCAGATGTTTGGATTTGTGTTATATGCCTCTGAATACACTCCAAAAAGCAACGGAAGTGTGTTGTCCATACCAAAGGTCAGATCGTCATATATTATATTTACTAAATATTCTTGGTCGATATTATTCTCCGTTTAATCCGGTTTTTCCTTTATCATGACACAACGTAACAATTTTTTAATGTTTACAAAAATTGTAATCTCATCTTCTATTGAATCATTAATTGTAGGTGCACGATAGAGCTCAAGTGTTTATTTCCTGCCCTGAAGATAGTGAAAAAAGGCCGACGTATGCTGATGTCATCACACGATGGTCTAACCGACCCATTCACCTGCCTTATTTAAAATGCGAATCCAACAATAATCTATTTATCTTGGTATGGATGCTTTCTTATCTTAGTAAATAGTTCTAAACGTATTCGTCCTTTTAAAAAAGTTAACGACTATCATATTATATTCATGTTTTATTTGTTCATGTTAAAGATTTTTGTCGACAACCTACGATCAAATTCCATTACATGTGGTATTATTACTAACTGCAGTTTGTCCATTTTAACCTCTGTTTCTGGTTTTCCTTCTTAGTTATCCATTTTAAGTAATGTAAATTCTTTTCTACTCATATAGGTCGAAAACATGGGCCGGTTGAATTACGGACCTTATATGTTTGACAGGAAGGTAAAAATCCATAAACTTATAGCTGTTGTTTTCTTACAAGCCTTTTGCTCGTTTGTTTTTATGTTCAATTGTTTGGAGGTTTGATTTTCAGGGTATTTTGTCTTCTGTTTATCTGGATTCAACGCCTCTGTATAAATGGAAAATGCTTCCCCTTTCTTTACAAAATGTCAACGAATCCCCAAAAATCGACCCCATCATTTCGAACACAATAAAAACGGCATCTCTTAAAGGATCCGCCCGCAAGAAATTAATAGGCAAGAGTAAGTCCCCAGATAATTTTTTTTAATAAGTTACTAGTGTTGTAAAAGACTTATTACATGCATCGTAAAAATTTGCTTCCTTTTTTGCAGAGCTCAATTTCGAACCGGCTTTTTATACCGGTCACTTCAATATTGACAAAGTTCGAGACACATACATATCGTTCCGAGGCTGGAGTAAAGGAATTGCATTCGTAAACGAAATAAATGTTGGAAGATTTTGGCCGGTAATATAAAATTATATTTAACATATACATATATATAATCATTGAAGATAAACGGGTGTTGATTGCCGTGTCCGGTGATGCATTGTCTCGTTTTTTTGTAGTCTGTGGGGCCGCAATGCAACCTTTACGTTCCTGCACCAATCCTCAGAGAAGGAAACAATACTGTGGTAATGACTTCTCAAAGATAGTTAACCTTGTACTTGTGAGAGTTTTGCAGTTTTGTGGTTGATTAATATATATATATGGTTTGGTGTTTTCTTGAATTAGGTTATTCTGGAGCTAGAATCACCTAAGCCTGACCTCACTGTTAGCTCAGTGGACCACCCTGACTTCACTTGCACTTCCAAACTAGGTAAATCCAGAGGTCGTCTTGTGCTCACTTCCTGATGAAAATATGTGTGTTTGTGACTGTGTGTGTGTGTGAGAGAGAGAGAGTTATTTGAACGTCTGTATCGTTATTTGTAAAATAATTGAATTAAAATTTACTGTTAAAAGACAAAAAATAAACATTTGATTCAAATTTTCATCTCACTAAAAGTAAAAAAAAAATTGATTTAACAACAGAATTATCGTTTTTAATTTTTGATGTCCGAAATTTGGGCTAGGTTTTTGTTGACGGCCCAAAACTAACAATCTGGCCCAAATCAATTTGGGTTTTTTGGGCCTAATGAATCAATCGAACGGCGTCGTTTTAACCTTGTTGTTTCTTTCTGCTCAAACAGACGAAGAAGGTATAGGCGAAAGGAGATGGAGAATTATGGGGGAGGGAACTGGACAATGATCCCCAACATGCAGTCCCAGAGTAACCCCTCTACACCCTCAAATCAGGACCATCTATTCCTCCAACAACAACAGCAGCAATTCAATCAACAACACCAGTTCCAACACCAATTTAATCAGCAGCAGCAGCGTCTCCAGCAACAACAGCCTCCGCCGCCGCCGCCGCAGCAACAACAATCTCTCGCCTCTCATTTTCACCTGCTCCATGTATTTTCCCCCTTCTTTTTCTCTCTCTAAATAAAATAACCCGTTTTCTCTTTTTTTTTTGGTATCCAGGGTTTAGAATTTTTTAATTTATTTTTTTAATTTTCAGCTGGTTGAGAATTTAGCTGATGTAACTGAAAATGGGACAAGGGATCAGCAAACCGATGCACTGGTTAGTCGATTCATTGGTTTTTGTTCATGGATTTATGTTTAATTGCTTTGGTCACAAACTTATTGCAGCTCTGCTTACTGCTTAGTAAAAATCGAAAGCCTAATTTGTCGAAATAATTGAAAAACAGCTTAGGGTAGGAAACACATTGTACTTTTTTATTTAGTTGTAATTATTAAATGCTACATTTAAATCTTCTAGTGATGTCTTTTGGATGTTTGTGTAAGATGGTGTTTATGTGTTTTGTTGTAAGATTGGTGAGTTGAATACACAGTTCGAGAAGTGCCAGCAGTTGTTGAACACCATCGGGGGGACGATTAAGGCCAAATCAACGGTAATTTGGTCATTTTCGTCAACTTAATTTATTTTTTCTGTTTTATTTTTGTATTTTCAAGAAATAAGAGAGGAAAAAGAGAGATTCACTAAGATAATTTTTTCGGTAATTCTTTTGCTTAGTGTGATCAAATGATATTCCTATGAAGTTGAAAACTTTAGTTTCAAATCATGGTTTTGAACGGTGGAAAATGTTACGTCGAAGCATGATTTATTGATTTCAAAAGCATATGTTATGTTTAGAAATCTGTATGTCAGTTTCATCATAAGTAAATGTGTAATGTTTTAGATTATAAATTGAAAAAGTAGTACTCCTAATCCACAACAAAATTCTTACATCCAAAGAGACTTTGATGCTTTTGTTTTAGGTTTGTCGAACTGTTATTAAAAGTGTTAAAACACACACATTTGTTATAAGAATGAATTGATTACTTATAATCGTTTCACACCTGGATATATTGTTGTTGACAGACTGTTGTGGAACAGAAACAGAGACTGGAGGAAACCGATAACTTACTCGCTCAAAGACGGTATTTAACGTTTCCTTTTAGTTTAGTGTCGGTATTTAACGTTTCTTCTTTACAGTTCATTGATCTATATCAGAAAGTCATGATTCACCGACGAAAAACAAAGTAGAAATTGGACATGTGATTTGTTTTGATGGTTTCTGCTGAAAGATTTTTTTTTTTTTAATTGTTAGGGATCTTATATTGAAGTTCAGAAATTCAGTTGAAGAGCTTAACAATTCTGAAATATAAGTTCCTGTATGAACGAACCCTGTCCGGTAAGGAATCCCTTTTTCGTGCATTTTCTCTAGTGAAGATTAATCGCAACTTGTGCCAGAGTGTTTACATATGTAAGAACTTGCTTCTTGCTTTTATCTGTTGTGTAGAAGCAGTCCCCCTCGAAATATTTAGTAGACATGAGATTGAACAACACACTACTCCCACATTTCAAATTTGACATGCACTGAAACAAAGATTTACGATTGCCTTACAAAAAATGTTGATTAGGTCTAGTTAGAGTGGCGACGATGATTATATCCAAAACCTTTTGTAGTTGGAAGCTTCAGGGATGAGGTCTACTTCCAACGTGTCGATTTATCAATGAATTGTAATTTATAGCATATGCGTTATTGATGCAATTCATATTATGTGAATTATGTTTTAATTATAAATATTGTGTATTCTGTAATGTTTTGTTTACTATAACTTAATAATTTCTTTACTATATTTGATTCGATACAAATACCCCTAGCAGTGGATAGATATGTTGCTGACATTTGGTAATTCCCAATGTAGTCTAAATCAGGATTTAAAAGCGTAAGAGCAACTCCAATGCAAAATAGCAAAATTGGATTATCAAATGCTCATTTGATATTTAAGATAATATTTTAAAATAGATTTAAAACTCATATACGCCAACCATGGTAATCAAATTTTATTATTAATTGAAAGTTTTTTGATAATTTTATATGTAATCGCCACATGTCAATTTGTGATTGGTTGGTTAGATGGTTATTTTTTTGGTAAGAAGTGTTTTTAGATTCAAAGTGGTGAAATATCAAAATACAAACTCATTTTAATAACCCCTTTGGATAACAAAATTTTTAAATTTTAGGAGTCAAATTGTAGTTAAGAGATTTGATAACTCATTAATAACTCCATTGGAGTTGCTCTAAGTCGCTTATAATCAGTATAATCGTTGAAATCAGTAAAAATCGCAATTTTTGAACTATAACTTTAGTTAAAATTTGGGCTGAAATTTCAAGCTTGGGCCCGAATCTCTAATTTTTGAACTAAATTTGAGAAAGCCCATTACCCAGAGAAACCCTAATTTGCCATATACAATACGGGCTTGGGCCTGAATCTTTAATTTTCTAACTAAATTTTAGAAAGCCCATTAACGAGAGAAGCCCTTATTTGCCATATACGATACGGGCTTGGGCCTGAATCTCTAATTTTTGATCTAAATTTTAGAAAGCCCACTACCTAGAGAAGCCCTAATTTGTCATAAACTTACATTCCATCCTAAGTTTATAATGTGTAAAAATTACGAGCCAATTTTACGTTTCCGGTATTACTAGCCGTCTCGGATTCATAATTAGCGATGGAATCCCAATAATATTACCATGTCCAACACAACAGCAAAATCAATAAGGTCTCGTTTGGTTGTCAAGATAAGATTAGCCATGGTAAAATTAAATAATCTAATGAAAACCATCTACTTTATACGAATCAAATAACATCCAACAAAAAACCTCCCTCAAAGGCAAGATAACACAAGATAAACCATGATAACATAGTATTTGCAGATCGACCCGACAAGTTATTGGGATACCAAACATCAAACAAAGTTCAATTATTTAGTTAATCATGGCTAATCTCCCCAACCAAACAGGGGCTAAAAAGATAAATATTAGGGTAAATTACAAACACCCCCCTGAGGTATGGTCAAATTACAAAAACACCCCTCTTGTTTGGATAATTACAACCACCCCCTTAACTCCTCAAATTTAGTGAAATATTCGAGATTATATGGAATATTATCACTTTTGTACCCGTTTTATCTCATTCAAACTCTATATTATGAAGCAAGATGATCATAATATGTGATTTTTAGCTTGTATATATCAGTTTGTGGAGCATCGAAAACTGTATTTTTACACAAAACGAGTACAAACTAGAGCAAATTTCACGGAATCTAGATGATTATGTTGAATTTGGCACTATAAGAGTGGAGGTGTAAGAAAAAATCATAGTTGAGGGGGATAGATGTAATTATTCAAACAAGAGGGGGGGTTTTGTAATTTGACCATACCTCAGGGGGGTGTTTGTAATTTACCCTAAATATTAAAATAAAGAGGAAAAGAAAGAAAACTAAGGAACATATAGTAAAAATGGATTGTTTTGCTGGGACAATAATTAACCTAGATAGATATCGAAGTGTCTGAAAAAATAATTAGCCTCTGTATAATATATAATCATAATAGCAAAAAAGTCAAAGAGTGTTGTAAGTCTTAAAGTTAATACCCACCCATAGCATCCATATTCGGCATCCGGTTTTTAAGTGGATTTTTCTGTCCTTGAGCATCGGCAATAATCGCCTCCGTCGTCGTCAACAACAATGACACACTGCAACAAACAAGTACTGAGTTTGCTTGATACTAAAATTAGTTAAACATGCAAAAAACAGAAAACTGTAAACAAGTTATCACCTTGCAGCATCTAACAAAGCTGTTCTAATGACTTTTACGGGGTCGACTATCCCAGCCTTCACCATGTTTACATATTCACCTGTTTGCGAAAAAAAAATATAAAATCACACACACACACACACACAAATCAAGAGAATGAGTGGAGTACTAAAACCCAGGTATTGTTTTTATATACAAAGGGAGAAAAAAAAAAGTCCCAGTGGACACAATGTACCTTTAGCAGCATCGTAGCCTAAATTCAGATCATCTTGTTCCAATAGCTTTCCAAGAATTAGCGCTCCATCAGCACCGGCATTCGAGGCAATTGTAAAAGTAGGTGCCTGTTACTCATACGACATCAGCACAGCAAATGAGAGAGAGAGAGAGAGAGAGAGAGAGAGAGAGAGAGAGAGAGGGAGAGTATAAAAACAAACCTTAAGAGCATTCTCTATAATTTCAACCCCTCTTTTTTGGTCCTCGTTTGCAGTTTGGAGGTCTCTAAGAACTCTCGTCGCATACAAAAGAGCAACACCACCCCCTGCGAAAAAAAAAAAAAAAAAAAAGGAAAAAGAGGTCATTGAACGTACAGATGAAAATATTCTGTGGTGTGCTAAGAGATGGTGTTTTTCTATTCCAGTTTGAAAAAAAGCAAAGACAAAGTTTACCTGGAACAATTCCCTCTTCAACAGCAGCTCTAGTTGCATTCAGAGCATCTGTTACCCTATCTTTCCTTTCTCCAACTTCTGCTTCACTAGCCCCTCCAACCTGTGAAAGAAAAAAAATACCGAAATTACAAACAAACTTACGAGACAAAAACTTGCATGTGAAATCTCCTGACCATATATGGTAATAAGTGTACCTTGAAAACTGCAACACCACCAGACAACTTTGATAACCGTTCTTGCGCTTTCTCCTTGTCGAACACCGCCGTACTCTTCTGCATGGCAGTTCTTAGCTGTACGTGAAAAATATTATTAGTGCCTCAATCACATTTCTTGCTAAATTATTGGTATTCTTGGAATGTTAGAAATTATATTCTTTATCATTATCAGTTAGCACGTGCGACCGGATGACCATAGTCAAATGGCAGAAGAAAAAATAAAAATCACTGTAGACATAATTAAGCTCCATTAATACCTGCTCACATCTTTCTTCTATCAGTTTCTTATCCCCACCGCCATGTAGAATTAAAGTGTCGTCAAGAGAAACAGTGACCTGCTCCAATAAAAGAACAAACAAGTGAAGATGAACTTCTAGTTAACTAAAGTTTTGGTGCAGACGTTCATATAACTACACTAACCTTTTTAGCAGAACCAAGCATATCAATCTGAACTTTGTTAAGACTCGCTCCAAATTCTTCACCAATGACCTGCAGAGATCACAATGAGTAATCTAGCACTACAAGAGTACAGTCAGAATAGAGAGCTATAAGCTCTCGAAGCTCGTCTCACCTCCCCTCCAGTGAGAATGGCAACATCTTCTAAACTTGCTCTTCGGTTATCTCCAAATCCAGGAGCTTTCACAGCACAGACCTATATAATACATCATGGAACAGAATTCAAGTTTTTATTTAACGGCAGCGTATGTGTGTGTTTTCAGAGTGTAATTCGCAAAATTCCTGTTAAGTTTGATAAACACATAATACGTGTACCTTCAATCCTGCACGGTGCTTGTTTAAAATAAGCATAGTAAGTGCCTCACTTTCCACATCTTCTGCAACGATTAGCAGAGGACGACTTCTCTGTCAAAAAGTAAAACATTGAAGAGGAAATCAATCATCAACCAGAATTTCATCATACTACATTAATCAGCACTTCATCATGTGTGCACTGGAAAATTCCAATTGAATGAACTTTTATTACCTTCACAGCAATCTCCAATACTCTCACAAGTGCGGTCATGTCTGAAATTTTCTTCTCGTGAATTAAGATCAGAGGATTTTCAAGTTCCTGTGTACATAGAGAATGACTTTTAGAAACAGATATGATACGTGACTGCTTAACACTAGAATTAGCAAAACACACCGTTTGATATTGGTGGTAGGCAAGACAATTACCAGTTAGTATCTAAACATTCAACATTTTTAAGATCATTTTTTAGATCAAAAGAAGACTCTTTAGAACAAATAAACCAATTTTACATGCTTTCAATCAACAAATGCATTCAGAAATTGAAGGGGTAAATTATTAAGAGTAACATCTTTTGACATACACACTTTTGGGTCTTTGCATCTGTAACAAAGTAAGGAGATATATAACCGCGAGCTAGTTTCATTCCCTCCACCACTTCCAACTCATTGTCCAGGATATTTCCCTCCTGCAAAATTTCAGATAATTATTTATTTTCCATTGAAGGTAACAAATTAAATATTCATGGTGAAAGCTAAAGTGTACTCACAGCAACAGTAATTACTCCTTCCTTTCCAACTTTCTCCATAGCCCGTGCTAGAAGCTCACCAATTTCACGCTCACCATTTGCGGAGATAGTAGCCACCTTTAATTAGGAAGAGTTAGCAACACATTGAATAAGAGAAAAATGTGCATCCAAGCTATACTACGTGTTATAGGGAAGAGGTAATTCCTCAAGAGTAACAAACCAGATCAACACAGTAAATCATTTATCTTAACCTGATGGATAAATTTCTGAAAAAGAAACAACTGGTAATACTGATAGTAAAATCTCAAGAAATCTATTTGGGGATATGTAGCTAGAAAATATATCAACAGAGCGGTTTAGTTCTTAGTTCCATGTTAGTCACCTGTGTGATTTCTTCAGGCGTACTGATCATGATTGCTCTGCTTTTCAAATCTGCGATAACTGCATCAACAGCCATGTTTATGCCTTTGCGCAAGTCCATTACATTTACACCTGCGGCAACTGATTTGCAACCTTCTCTGAATATCGCCTGAGTCAGTACAGTAGCACAGGTGGTACCTGATCAATATATCACATTCTCGTTTAAGATTTAACAGAACTTGAGAGAAAATAGCGAAGTTCGACTCTGAAGGTACAGGTTATTTTAGGAGAGGTACATTTGAATCTTTCACAAGCAGAGAGGGTGTGAAAGAGAAGTGCATTACAGAGTAATTGATTCTAAATACTAAATATGAAGTCTCGAATTTCATGAAAATGATTAGACACCAATGGAGAAGCCCCATTGTGTTATGACACGTGTTCAGGAAATTACCATCACCAGCAACTTTATTGGTAGCATTGGCAACCTGCTTCACAAGATCTGCTCCGACATTTTTTGCCTTGTCTGAAAATTCGATGCTTTTGGCTACTGTGACACCATCCTTTGTGACCTTGGGATTCCCAGTTTTTTCAATAATTACATGACGACCCTGCATATGATTTCAAGAATTGGCTATTTTGTATTCTAAGCGTCTTACAAATTCAGCAATAGAATGATTAGCGTTGAATTATAATATTGAATCCTCACCAACATCCTGTCGTTTAATGACTTTAAGTAGCTAAAAATATCAAAGTAATAAAAGTAGCAAGAACAATGAACCCATAACAGAAGCGAATAAAGACCAACGGAAACACAAAAACTCATAACAGCCACATCAGACTCCATCAATCTCAAACCCGAAACTAAAAAAAATAGTACATAATAAACCCATGTTTTTATCTATTCAATCATGATCATAGCACATCAAGATGGAAATGCTAGGGCACACAATCATATTGTTAGCTATCATGAACTAGAGTTTGCAAACATTTCTATTCAAATTTTCAGCCCCATCAATCAGATTCGGTAGTCTGCATAAAAAAATTTGTCGTGTGCAGTTTGTCATATTCTTATTTTAATCAAATTTTCTCCTAAAATTGCAGAACAAAGAAGAAGTACTGTATCTAAAGCCTAGTTACCTTTGGCCCCATTGTCACTTTCACAGCTTCGGCAAGTTCATTAACTCCGGCGAGCATAGCAGCTCGAGCTCCGGTACCAAAACTAATATCCTTGGCTACATAATTTCTGCTATGCACAATCCCACCACATGCCTTCCCATTCAAATCATTACCAAAAAAAGAAAGACAAAAAATCATGAAAGAATCAATTAAATTAGAAAAAAAAAAAAGAAAAAAGAAAAAAAGAAATCAAGTAGATTAACAAAGCGCATAATTATAACGAGGATTACCAGCTTTCTGGAAGTAGATGATCTGCATTAACAATGATTGAGCAAATTATCAACACTGAGTTCATAACTTAAATTTGGGGGAATGTAGAAATAAATTAAATAATTCAGCTTGCGCCTAACCTTATCGATGAAGAAATGGCAGCCGCGGCGACTCTGTACATGGCGGAATTAGGGTTTCTGAGGGTTTTGCCTGTGAGAAAAAATGGAAGCGTAGACTGGAGATTTGTTGTCTGGGGTTTAATCCTCCGCAACGAAGGACTAAAACCCTATTATTAATTTTATTTTTTAAATATATGGGGTACAAGTGATATTTTGTACATTTCAAGGGGTCAATAAGAGGTAGTTTAAAGTTTAGGGACTAAATAGCAATATTACGAAAATGAATTCTCTGTGTTTTCCTTTACTTTCGCCATTTTATTCCTCAAAGAATTCATCTTTAATTCTCCTCCGAAGAACCATTTCAGTAGCAGCTGACTACTAAGAACAGAAAACAGTGCGCCGCCAATTACGGTACAATCCCTAATTTTTACCTTCCGAAACGTTCGCGTGCCTCCAATTATCGAGCTTTGATTGTTTAATTTCATGCGTTTTTTTTTTTAATTGTGTAAATCTCTTTGTTAAATTTCAATTGTAGGTATAAATCATCTGTAGAATTCCCGAATAATTTACTCGTTTATCTTCAATTACCTCGTTTAAATCGATAAAAATGGAGGCGGCGAGCACTAGTGCGCCATCAATTTCAAGTTTAGAGCCAACGGACGACATGGAATTCGATACGCACGAAGCAGCTTACGAATACTATAAAGAATATGCTAAATCAGTAGGGTTTGGTACTGCCAAATTGAGCAGCCGCCGCTCTAGGGCTTCGAAAGAATTCATCGATGCCAAATTTTCGTGCATTAGGTATGGGAATAAGCAGCAATCCGACGATGCTATCAATCCGAGGCCTTCCCCGAAAATAGGGTGTAAAGCTAGCATGCACGTGAAGCGAAAGCCGACCGGAAAATGGCACATCCACAGTTTCGTGAAAGAGCACAATCACGAGCTTTTACCCGACCAAGCCCATTTCTTTAGAAGCCATAGGAATTTGGATTCGGTTAACAATAGTGATGCTAGAGTCAAGAAGAAGAAAGTGTTGAAAAAGTACGGTGCTTATCAGTTTTCGGGAACTTCTATAGAGAATGTGATCCGTAGTCAGCATGATAGAGGGCGTTTTCTGAGTTTAGAGGAAGGTGGGGCCCAGTCGATTCTTGAATTTTGTTCCCAAATGCACGAAGAGAATCCGAAATTCTTTTACGCGTTGGACTTCAATGAAGAGCATCGATTGAGAAATGTGTTTTGGGTTGATGCGAAAGGGGTGGATGATTTCACACATTTTGGAGATGTGGTTTCGTTTGATACGACTTATTTTCAAAGTAAGTATAGAATTCCTTTGGTTCTTTTTATTGGAGTGAACCATCACATTCAGCCCACATTGCTTGGCTGTGGATTGATTGCCGATGAGACATTATACACGTTTATTTGGTTGTTGCAATCTTGGTGTTTGGCTATGGGGGGGAAAAGTCCTAGTGTACTACTCTCCGACCAAAACGAGGCTATAAAAGCTGCTGTGCAGATGGTATTTTCGGAAACTCGGCATTTTTTCCATTTGTGGCATGTTTTGGAAAAGATACCTAGACAGCTCGATTACCTTAACATCTGGCACGAGACTTTCGTGGGAAAACTGAATAAATGCGTATATAGATCGTGGATTGAACAGCAGTTCGAGAAGAGGTGGTGGAAGCTGATTCAGAAATTCAATCTTCAAGAACATGAATGGATTCTATCTTTATACAAAGACCGTAAACTTTGGGCGCCTGCATTTATGAAGGATGTTTCTTTTGCTGGATTGTCCGCTGCTTCGAGATCTGAAAGCTTGAACTCTTTCTTCGACAAGTACATCAATGCGGAGACTTCTCTGAGAGATTTCATAGGGAATTATAAATCAATTCTCGAAGACAGATACGAAGAGGAGGCGAAATCAAATTTCGATGCATGGCATGAAACACCAGAGCTGAAGTCGCCTTCGCCTTTCGAGAAACAAATGCTGCTCGTTTACAGTCACGAGATATTCAAGAAATTCCAAACGGAGGTTCTAGGGGCAGCAGCTTGCCATCTGAAAAGAGAGAAGGAAGATGGCTCAACCGTTGTGTACGGAGTGAAAGACTTTGAAAACAATCAAGATTTCGTCGTCGAATGGAACGAACTGAAACTGGACGTACATTGTTCGTGTCGTTCGTTTCAATACAAGGGTTATCTTTGTAGGCATGGGATTGTGGTTCTCCAAATGTCTGGCGTCTTCATCATACCGTTCAAGTATATACTTCAAAGATGGACAAATGCCGCCACAAGTAGAATCCCCCTTAGTGAGAAGCTGGATGAAGTTCAAGCTAAGGTACGAAGGTACAATGACCTTTGTAGACGAGCCATAATATTGGGTGAAGAGGGGTCGTTATCGCAGGACAGTTATAATACTGCAGGTGGGACCATTAATGAAGCTCTAAAACAATGTGCAGATGTAAACAAACCTTCGGAGAGTGATTTGAGACCGGAAATATCTGCCCCTCTTGCCATCCAAGGTGCTTCAGGGGTGAACCATAATGTCGGTGTAAACAAAGTGACAAGTGTGAACAAAGGTTCCAAGAAAACAAATTCGGGCAAGGAGCCAGTAAAAAACGGTGGAATTACGAGCAGAAAAGGGAAGGTTGGTATTATTATCCATTCTTGTTCTGTTTTTTTTTTTTTTTTTTTTTTTTTTTTTTTGTTTTTTTGTTATGAAGATAACTTGATAATATCTTCGACATGTGCAATCAGGTGCCACTAGAGCCGCAAATTGCTAATGTCGGGACTCGGGGCATTTTTCAGCACATGGTACAATTTCTTTTCTTTCCTTTTTTGGCCTCTCTATTTAGTTTCTTAGGGTTATAAAATATAAATATCGTTTTTCGCCAATGAACCTCAAATATCTCTTTTTTTTCGTTGAGTGAAGTTCTGACGTTTTCTCGGTTCTTTGCCTTGGATGGTTAAGACATAAACTTGCTGTCACGTTTCTGCTCTTTAGAATTTTATAAATGGCGACGATATTATTAATATTATCTAATTTGTGCTATTGGGAGATGAAAGCTCGAGTTTCTTTGTATAGGATATGCCTGGTCCCCTAGAATACAATTCATTGTATCCGAGGTTTCTCACAACATTGTTAAAAGGTGGTGGTGAGATGTCCAAAAGAAGCGTCGATATGCTCGGGGAGATGTTAGAGGAAAAAAGTTGACGGTGCAAAGATCATCCAGAAGATTTTTTTCCATAGCGCCACAAATCTTTCCAATCCAAATTTATCGAGGTATTTCCGTTCAGTTCAATCGAACATATAAAAAAAAATCGGAAAAAAAGTACATTTTAAAGTTTCTTCATTGTTTGTTTGTCAAATGTGACTTTCTTTTTTTTTTTTTCTTTTTTAGTAGTGCAGATATCCATGTTTCGTCTGGTTCAGAAACGACTTTTCGGTCGATGCGATGCGAAAGTTGGTGTTTCGACCCCGGAGTGGAGGAAGAACATGCTTGAAGGAATTCAAATCTAAGTAGAGGTACTCTAACTGGTTTCTTATATAAATCGCGATTAATTAGCAGCTCCGTTTTAATAATTGAAGATGTTACGAAGAATCAAGAACTAAATTAATTGCAGAGAAATCATCATCTATCTTGTATGGCCTCGTTTGGTTGGTAAGATAAAGTCGTGATTAGATGATTGACCAGTCCTATCTTAGCAACCAAACGAGGCTTAGTACGTACGTTACTATCATATCCATTATCAACATCCTCTATACAGCTAGGTTCCAGAAATCACTAGATACTGTCTCATTTTCATTGAATTTAGACTAAATAAATAAATCATAAATTAGTATTATGGTGTATTAAAAATAAATAAATAGTTAATTATGGCATATGTCCAATGATTGATGTAACTGTTGACGTTGTAACAAACCAGTTAAGACCACCGATAGTCCAACCACGAGACAGCTTTCATCACAAATCATTTTCAGTTTCTAAATAACCATTTTTATATTATTATTATTATTGTTATTATTATTATAAATAAAAAATATATAAACTAAAAGCCAAATGAGGTGGATAAGAAGAGCATGAAAAAAAAAAACAAAGCATATTATCACATGGTTGTCAATCATTTTTCTAAACTTGTAATTTCATTCTAATCTCTGACAAATTTAAGGCTGTTCACATGTTGCCTGAATAAGTTCATATGATATGTTTTCCTTTTAAAATTAAGTGGTGGCGGCGGCGGTTGTGGTGGTGGTGGTGGTGGTGGTGGGGTTCCTACGTATATATATTATTCAAGCACAAAATTTAATTAATTATTATGAGTTATATATATATATATATATATATTGAATTTTATTTACCACCGACGCTGAACCCGCCAACTTTCGTGAACCCACCCACCTAATATTTCATTCATTTATTCACCATAAATAAAATTAAAAAAAAAATTGCCATTTTCATTAATTATTATTGGCAGGTGAAAATTTCATGACTTTTTAACATGATGGGGCATCACTTCGACACCCATAAATGCAGTGTTTTTTTTTTTTTTTAAATGTGACAAAATTGTTATATTGGTGTATAATTTCTTTGAATAGACCTCGAACTAAGCCGCCAGCTCTTAGTTTAGATGTCTATTTTCAGTGTAAGTTGGACGAGGGCAATGAGCAAATTTCAAAATTTCTGAACGGACGTTAACTACACAAAATCAAAACCCGGTTATTGTCGACTTTAATCGACGGAAAAATATATTTCATTTAATAGCTATGAGTCCATGAAAAATCAAATGTAGAATTTGCAATTAACCATCCTACTATAGGGAGTACTATATAAACATCCAAACATTAAAGTCAACTATAAGGTAGTTGGCATAACCAAACCAATTTCAGATCTCAAATTAATGGAGCAATTAAAGGCGCAAATTCCTATAATAAATCACTAATGCAAGTCAACTCAAAGTTGTCATGCAACTAATGGTATACTAGTTGAATTGAGTGAATATGTGTCAATTGAATTAAGTTCGAATCTAACGATCATTATTACGTTTTTTTGTATAGTTTGCAAGCTTCTGATTTTATAGTAATTCTCGAGATAAAGAACGATAAAAAAACAGTATTACACCAAATCAAATCAAACTCGATTCATAGTTTTTGTTGATCAAATTTAACAAACCTCAAATACATAAAAATCCCTAATTAATCGAGATTAATAAACCTAATAAACGTAGCAAAAACATGTATATATCACAAATTAAAATCGAAATGCTAAATTTCTCCTAGTAACAATCATATACCAATACCAGAAAAGTAAAAAAAATGGAAACAAATCAAATTGGAAATAGTGAAAAAAAAATTGACAGAAATTGAGAAAATTTTAAAATATTATCAAACCTGCTGCATGAATTTTAATTTTTTTTTTTTGGGCTCAAATTGTCCATTTGATGATCTTAATTCTCGGGTCAATTTTGCATTTGACATGCGAAGTGGTGGCGACCGTCGCCGTTTTTCCGGTGGGGGTTGATACCTTGATTCCGTCGCAGGTAACCCTAATTTTGAGATTCTTCGTTTTGATTTTGCCGACTTTCATCCTCACCTTCGTGTCAAGCTGAATCTTCAGCGGCAGACTCTGTTTCTTCAAGCTCGATTTCAATGGCGAAATGTCGGTGTCGGCCGGAAACGGAGTGGTCGAGCTGGAGACCACGGTTTTCAGCGTCGTGACGTTTTTCCGGCCGTGGGTGAAGGCGGGGAACGATCCGTCGCCGACGGCGAGATCGCCGGAGAGTATCTTCACATTAATCTGGTCGTAGAAGTAGGTGATTTTTTTGTTAGGGTTACGCGCGGTGAGGGTGAGGTTGAAGGCGGAGTTCAGAGATCTGTCGGTGAGGTTGAATCTGGAGAGCTGGAGGGTTTCGACGGAGAACGACGGGCGGTGCGGCCGGTACATGACGTAGAACACCACTCCGGCGACGGCGGTCACGAGCAGGATTAAGAGAATCAGGAGGCTCGTCCACAGGCAGCAGCAGCAGCAGCAGCCGCGGCGGTGGCGCCGCCGCGGAGGCGGCTGCGGTCGGTAGGCCGGACGAGACGCGTTGTAGAGCTGAGCCTTGTTCGCCGGGAACGATGGATTGGAGGCGCCGTTCGCCGCCGCGGCACCGTCGGTGGCGGCGGCGCCGCCGTTGGCGGTGGCTGGCTTCGCCGATGGGTACACTTTGTCATTCATTTTCTCTCTCTAGCTCTCTCACTTTTGGTTTAGTTTTATTTTATTTTATTTTTTTGCATATATATATACAAAAGTAGAGAGAGAAAGTGGGCGGAAATTTGTGTGTTTAGAAAGAGAAATACACAGAGATAGAAGAAGAAGGTTTGGGAAGAAAGAATATAATGATGATTTTATTAGAGAGAAGAAAGGCGACAACAGCTGCTTAACTAATGTCTAATTACAATTAGTGACTAATTAATATATACTACCTAATTCTGATGTTTTTGTGTTGACCACAACCAAAATTTAGGCTTCTAGTCAACGTCGAAATTAGGTTCTTATACACTATATCACCAATTTGGGTAAACTTCATGCAATTAATTAGGTTGTAAATATTATTTTTTAATAATTATTATGTCATTAATATTTATGGGAGTACAACTTTAGTATACATCATTATGGTGGGTTACCATGTATGGAATCTTTCTCTCTTTTCTATTGGCTGTGGCTTTTATTAAATATTAAGTGTTAAATAAACCACGTGTGAGAGTGAACCTTCATTTATCGTCTGCATCGCACTCATGTTCTTCTTGTCTACTCATGGGTCCCACCCCTACTTATTTTTTTCTTCTTATTTTTATTTAATACCAAATTAAATCATTTTTGCATTTTTCATATAGTCGATTATATTATTAATATGAGACTGAAAGAAACCTCTTGAATTATAAAATCTGCATGAAATATTGAATAATAAAATTAACTGATAATATATAAGCTGGAAGCAGCAGATTAAAAAATTGATTAACAAAATTAAGGTTAAGTGGGAGAGGAACCCTACACCAGTAATCACCTAATTAGTAATTAAAACATCTCTGTTGCTTTGAGTTTCTCCAATAATTAATTATTTGACAGTTAATACTTACAATAATTAGCCAATACGATTTCTTTTTCTCTTTTTTTCTCTCCTCCATATATATTTTCTTAATTTCTAGCTATTATTGTTAAGCAATTATTATGGCTTCACACACACATATATAATATATTGAATAATGATCATGGCCACCTAATAGTGATGTTTTAATTAACATTGGGAAATTTGTTTAGCAATATTCGAAATTGAAATAAAAAGTATTTTGAGCAGGCAGTAGGCCCATTAGGGAAAAAGTAATATTTGAGTATAATTGTTTGGGCCAATCAAATTATTTGTAGAATTATAATGGAATTAGCCCAATTACTATTTTGGATCACAGCTTGAGTTTTGTCCAAGTGGGGTGTATGTGGAAGTACAAGTGAAAAGCACCATAGTCATTAATTTTTATTTTCAATAATTATTATTATTATTTTAAAGAAAAATTTGGTTAAGAAGGAGCTCTAGCAGCCATTGTTATAATTTTTTGAAGCTTTTTATATTAGTTAGTTACTGTGGTTTGAAACTTTTTATATTAGTTAGTTACTGTGATCTGTGTGTGACCTTGTAATCCATACATTGATTCATCGATAAATGTCTAATTTGTTGTGACGTATGATCGCTTCTCAATCCGAACCACGTTGATTCTCTGTATCATTGTGTGTTTTTCGATTCGACTCCGTTATGTTATTGTTCTTTACTTTTCACAACAAGAACTTTGCTTAATAACAAAAAGAACTTTGTTATTTCAAAATTTCAACCATTGTTTTATTACTTATGTAAGTTATAAAACACACAAAAAAAAAAAAAAAAATCAATATGCAAAACCCTTTTGTGAATAAAAGGGGTTAAAAGATTTTCAAACCGACAAGTCAATATAGGGACATTCAATTTTCCTAGCATAATTTGGTCCTAAGTGACACAAATTCAGATCCACCACACCATTATTTTATGATTATTATTACAACACTATGGTGTCCAAGTCCAATACCACATTTTTTTTTTCCTTCTAAAAAACACCTACCTAATTTTGGCAGGTGGGGACAATTACACAATCCCATAAGATATTAAATGTTTATTTATAATTACCAACTTTTTTTTATTGCCATAATAAATGCTCTTTATATTACAATTCATTGGTTAGCTGTCAACTTTTGATAAGTAAAATCAAAATTTACCTTTTTTTTCTTAATCACTCTTATCTAGGGGGTAATCAACTTGATTTATGATACACATTTTGTCATTTTTTGAATCGAGTATGAATCGAGCTTCGTAATTTATCGAACCAAAAATTCCCTTTAAATTTGGTTTAACATATTAACGAACTGAACCCGCACAAGTTTCGAGGATCGATTTCGAATGGAGTCATAAATCGTCAATCTTGATGCTTAATTTCTCTTTAAGAAGCATTGGATTCTTAGCATTAAAAGGATAGAAAAAAAAAAGAACAAGAAAAGGAGTTCATATATGTTTTTTTTTTAATATTTTTTTTTGATAAGATTATTTTTTTTGTAATTGACTTTCATGTTTGATAATATATATTATATTACATAATCATATAACAAAGAAGAGAATGTTCCATTAGGTTTGAAAAGTTTCCTGCATAATTTGACTAATGAGACAGTGGCTAACACTTGCAACCAATGGGAGTTGAGTGTACTATTTTTAATTATTTGAAATGTTGAAAAAAGGCCAATCAAAAGTATAAATAATTAGGCCAAATTTTCACATTACATTAAATTAAACAAGCCAAATATTCCCAAATTTCAACCAACACTTAACAATACACTAAATGCTTCTCTCCAAGATTCAATTTTCATTTTAATGTTCTTGATCTTGTGTGTGGTTTCTCTCTCATCCCCCACCATGAGACTCTAAATTCCTTTTTCAGACAGTGACTTTTGCAAGATTGCAGTGTTCATCTTCACCCACCCCTACCCCCCACCCCCCACCCCACCCCACCCCACCCCCACCCACCACTTTCTTGATCAGTTCTATCAGTGGCTTTATTCAAGAAAAGGGATACTATTCCACTTCCAACACTCAAACTCCATCAAATCTTGATTTTTTTTTGTTGATTTAAATATTGGATGAGGAAGAATTATTACAAAGGCAGAAAAAAATCAGTTCTTGAAATCATTACTTGAGTAGTAGTACTTGTTTGTTTGTGGGTCTTTTTGTGTTTGTATTCTTGTTCTTCATTTTAATCTTTGCCCAATGATTTGAAAATGCAACACTGCATCTTTGTCAGATTTCATCTGCTGTCTGTAAAATCTATGTTCTTGATTCAAATGGGGAAGATGAATAATTGTTCTTGATTTCTTGTGCTTGTGAGAAACATGGAGCTGCAGCTGAGTTCTTCTCTCTACATAATTCTCTGTATCTTTGCTTTGTTATTTCAAGAATCTGCAGGTAAAAATTATTGCTGTGACATTGATTTATTACATATTGATTTAATCATAGTATTTTAGATCCCATTAATTTTTCATCATTAGTTAATAATGTAATGAAATTTTCCTATGTAGTATGAACTGTTGGTATATCTGATATAACTTTGTTATTACAGTCCCATTTGATCAAAATTGGACTATCATTCATTTGCATCTCGTTTATTTCGATCCAATCAATCGAAACTTCGAGTAAATAAGAATGTTTCGATCTCCGATTTTAACCTTTTTCGAACTTTGATACATAACTCTTTATACAGGTCTCGGCTTACCATCATCGTTAGTTAAGCTTTACACGGGCAGACACCGATTTTTATTACCGAAAAATGGTAACTTTTTTCGAAATAATTTATACTTCTATATCTATATATATACATACATATATATATATACATATTATTAATAATTCTTGAAAATAACAGATCAAGCTCTTTCACCTACATGGCATGGCATTTTTGCTGCAGAAGCTCCCCATCAAAAATCGTTTCACGCTCCACTTATATATCGTCCGTCAATTAGACGTACGTTGTATGCTACGGAAAATTTCAGTTCATTTTTCGAAAAAAAAAAAAAAAAAAAAAACGGCATCTACTTCTTCTGCTAAGAGATCACTTTTATTTTTCGTTATAGCTTCAAATCCTCGGAAATTAAACATCTCCAGCAATGCATATGCACCGTCTACTCCATCGTACGGCCACCCTGGCAAAAAACGAATACATTATAACCACCACATTGCCCCCGAGCAATCTCACAAGCCGCATAAAGGTCAATCTTTAAATCACTAGATATTTTTTTTCTTCGATTCTGCTCGTTTATCAAGTCGTTTTATTTATTTATTTGTTCTGTGTGTGTGTGTGTGTGCAGGACATGCTATAGCCCCTTCTCCGACGGGTCGTTCGAAGAGAGGACCTCTGCCATTGCCCGCAATTCCGTCCAATCATTTAATCGGTATACTCCTATTTCTTACATCCTATTTTTCTGTCTGAAAATGAGTTCATATATAAATGTAAACTAAATAATCGACTGTTGTTATCTGTTCTATAAGCGCCCAGCCCTTCGCCCACCGTTTCTCCAACGAGTTCTCCTATCGTAAATAACGAAAAAACTCCACCACCGTTACCGAGTATGGCATTACCTCCACCTCCACCTAATCAAGGTATACACAAAATCGCATTTTCATTTCAAGAAAGTTTAATCATATTAAATCCCGATTTTTTTTTCGTCTTTTAGGATGCGTGTCTCTAACATGCACCGAGCCACTGACGTACAAACCTGCTGGAGCACCATGTGGCTGTGTTTGGCCAATCGAAATTCGTCTCCGTTTCAGTATATCTTTATATAATTTTTTCCCGTTGGTTGCTAGTCTTGCCGAAGAAATTGCGACCACTATCCCATTAAATCGAAGCCAAGTTCGTATATTGGGAGCAGATGCAGCAGATCAACAGCTCGAGAAAACCACAGTCCTAATTAACTTAGTCCCACTAGACGAAACATTCACCGATGCAACGGCCTTTACTATTTATAGAAAGTTCTGGAAGAGAGAGCTCTCCATCAAGGCATCCACTTTCGGCTCTTATCAAGTGCTGTATGTTCGATATCCAGGTAACGAAAACATTAATTTTTTCCAATATTTGTAAAAATTCACTTTTATTACAGTCTTTTTCGAATGATTTTTTTTTAATATTTTTTTGTAGGGCTACCACCATCTCCACCTTCACAACCCCACGACTCGGCCACAATCGACAGTCAACCTTATCCGAAAGAAGATGGCCCGATAAAGCCTTTAGGGGTAGATGTGCCAAGAAAAAATAAAAATAATAATTATCGCAAAAATATGGTTATTGTAATAGTCCTATCATCCGTGACAGCATTCGTAGTGTGCGTGGGATTTATTCTGCTAATTTTCTCGAAACGGGGTTGCAAAAGTCGGCATACTTTAACACTGAATTCGGACATAAAACCATTAGGTAAGAGAAACCCTTTTGCCACTTAAGTCAAAAACTAAAGGTAAGATTGCTAACTTACTATTATTATCTCGTTTCTTGAATACGACTAACCGACAGGTGGCGGTAAAATGCTGGCGTTACGAAGCCGTGCCAGCTCAGCATCGGCGTCGTTTGGTTCGAGCCTATTAGCATGCACGGGGTCTGCTAAGATTTTCAGCATAGAGGATATAGAGAGGGTGACAGATAACTTCAATACATCAAGAACTCTAGGAGAAGGGGGTTTCGGACTTGTGTATGGTGGGACCCTCGAAGATGGGAGACAGGTGGCGGTCAAAGTTCTCAAGAGATCCGATCAAAATGGGACCCGCGAGTTCCTAGCCGAGGTCGAAATGCTTAGTCGGCTTCATCATCGAAACCTAGTCAAACTCATCGGTATATGTCCAGAAGAAAAATGCAGATGTCTTGTCTACGAGCTTGTTCCAAATGGAAGCGTTGAATCTCACTTACACGGTTCGTAAAAACAAAGATCGTTCGTTCGTTCGTTTTTTTTTTTTTTTTTTCTTTTTGTGTAATAAGATGTTTCGGTTTTTTATAATGTAGGAGTGGATAAGGAGGTGGCGCCTCTTGATTGGTACGCGAGGATGAGAATTGCACTCGGTGCGGCTAGAGGTCTGGCGTACTTGCACGAAGACTCGAGCCCTCGTGTGATACACAGAGACTTTAAGTCGAGCAATATCTTGTTGGAAAATGATTACACGCCTAAAGTCTCCGATTTCGGTCTCGCTAGAGCGGCCAATATGGATGACGGAAACAAACAGATTTCGACGCATGTCATGGGAACTTTCGGGTAATATTCTTAACCGACGTTGTATTTTCTTGATTTTATTGCATTAAAATATTTTTTTTTAAATTTTTTTCCGTACCTTAAAGTACTTAATCCTTGGTCCGAAAACTTGCTTGTGATGATCAGTTACTTAGCTCCGGAATACGCCATGACGGGCCATCTCCTAGTTAAAAGTGACGTTTACAGCTATGGCGTTGTCCTACTCGAGCTTCTAACGGGGAAAAAGCCCGTTGACTTATCGCAGCCGCAAGGACTAGAGAATCTAGTTTCGTGGGCCCGGCCTAGTCTTGCAACAAAAGAAGGGCTCGAAGCAATCATCGATCCATGTCTGAAATCACAAGTACCACTAGATAACTTCTCCAAAGTCGCGGCTATAGCCTCGATGTGCGTTCAACCGGAAGTTTCCCACCGCCCGTTCATGGGCGAAGTTGTTCAAGCTTTGAAGCTCGTGTGCAACGAGTTCGAAGAAGTCATCGAGCCCGTTTCAAGAAGCTGCAGCGAGTTCGATATAGAGAGTAGAATATATTCGAACGAACTTATGGAAGGTGGTCGCGACTTGGAGAAATGTGATTCGAGCTTCGATATGAAGATTGCTTTGTCGGCTGTCGATTTGACCGCGTTTAAAGGGGAGGAATTGTCGGAGTCGTTTCGGAGACAGTTCAATTCGGCTCCGTTGAAAATGGGACGGAAACGAAAATTCTGGCAGCGTCTGAAGGGACTGTCTAGAGGAAGTATGAGTGAACATGAGTTCTCATCCAAGTTTTAGTTTCAAAAGAAATATTAGCATAGAACCCCCCTGTGTAATCTGTAATTGTCGAGAAAACTACTATGTCGAAAAAATTAGCAATAACACCCCTATGGGCAATGTCATGTTTTACAAAGCACACAGCTCCTTACATTAAAATTGGTTTTAAGTGAAATGACAAAATTACCCCTAATAATTTTTAAGAAATATTTCAATTTAAATAAACAAAATGTTTTTATTTAAAATTAAATATTAAAAGAAAATTATGAAACTTTTATTTTGGGTCTTGCGAAAATAATGCGGTGAATTTATAATTTTCAAAATTTATGTTTTAAAAGGTATTTTGGTATTTTCGAGTCAAAGAACATAACCATAGCCGCGAGATCGCGCATGCAACACACATTCAGCTCGTGGGGCCTTATTGACTTTGACTAATTTTTATAGGGGTCTTTTGCTAATATGTTTAACACGAGGTTTTTTTTTAACAATTAGAGATTACACGGGGTGATTCTTGCAAAAACCCCTGCTTCAAAAACTAGTTGAAGACAGAAACACTACCTGAAAGGCTGAAACCACCGCCTGGGATTGAAGCAAACGCGCCACCACCGCCTGGAGGAGCAAATTCACTCTTTCCTCATCCGTAGCAATTTGTTCCGATCGGAATTGAGCGGTAATCACCCACACCGGTGCTTTTCGCCTCCAATATCTCAACCTCCAAAACCATCAGCTCCAATATTTCTCCAATTTGTTTGCTCGAAACTTCAAATGTTGAACCACATTTACGTTCTTCATCAGCTGATTGTGGACTCCCCATCTGCAGTAGCTGGCATGCACCGGTAGCAGAAATGTTTTAACTTATCGATGAGGTTTTGGTCGAGTTCACCGTCGGAATTGTACCACTCGCCGCCGCCGATCGATTGCCTTGCAAGGTTTGAACTCGACTCCCATGTACAGTTCATTTTCTCCTGTTTTGAATACACACAACCTGTTTGATTAAATTCCTTGTCGACAAATTCTATAGTGATATATTGATGATGGTGATTGAAAGACTGGTCTCTTCTTTGATGTTTTGTAGCTATAAATAAACTCTATTTTCCACCATTTTAATACATACATATGTATATATATTCATTTAAAATATGATGTAAATTTAAAAAATAATTATTAAATGTTTTCATGTACATTTAAAGCATTATTACAAGTTCTGAATATGAACAGCATAAAAAACTCCATTAGGAAATACATAAAGCATAACAGCATCATGAGAATTAAGACACATACAAAGAACTTGCAATAATTTTCTTTTTTCACATCATAAATTAGCAAGTTCTCTCTCTCTAATATAAATTTGCTAGAAATAAAAACAAGAGAACTAATTAATTAAAAAAGAATCATAACAATTTTTTTTAACCCTATAATAAACACAAACTCAACCTCTTCTACTTTGTCACTAAACTCCAGCTTCTTTCCCTAATCTCTCTCTCAAAATCTTCACTCCCATATACCTGCATTCGCATATTTTCCGATTATTATATACATTTTTCGACATTATAAAAATAAATAAATTAAAAAAAAAAATATTAAATAACCATCTTACCGGCCCATCATCATGACAGTAGCTTGAGGATTAGTCCCAGGAGAATCTTTAAAAGTGGAGCCATCAATGACACGTAGGCGGTCAACTCCAATGACCCTATGATCGGGATCCACCACCTTGCCCACGTGGCACCCTCCGTGGTAATGCCAGATCGTAATTACAGTGTCTTTACAGAACTGCTCGAGCGATGACGTGTCGTTTGTGTGCCTTGGTATGAGGTTCACGTTCGCGTGAACGCTCATGTTCAGAAGCTTGTCGACAGTGTCTTGATCCAATTGTGCGTATTCGCTGAAGTGCTTCGATTTGAGCATCTTTTCCACGACTCGTATACCGTCCACACAACGTGCCAGGTCATCGGGGTGGCTGAAGTAGTTGAACGTGACCGAAGGGTTGTCTTCGATTACCGTGTTCGATAATTTAATCTCGCCTTTCGAGAGTGGCATCGCTATTTTTTCTAAGATGAAACCTCCTTTGAACGCTTCGTGCGGAAGGTTCTTCTTTTGTCTCTTGTACGCGTGGATTGCTTCGTGCGTTCTTTGCTTTGGAGGAATTGTCGACAGCTGTCCTATCTGTTCACATTAAAAAAAAAACAATAAAAAACAAAATTCGAAAAAACAAGTTTTATTACAAGAAAATTAATATTTTCGATATTTACCTCAGCAGAAGCAATGCCGTGGTCACAATGAATACTGTCTGAAGACTGACCAAAGCCGCTGCTTGCTTCAATGTACACTCCCAACTTCGTGATTCCGACAGTTTGTATCAAAGACTGCTTAACCGGAGTTTTACTCGGTACGAAAATTGTGTTCAAGGGGTTATCGGACATGCCTTTTCCGACAAATTTATTGTCGAGCACAACTGGAATATTGAATTTTTCGAGGTCTTTTTTCGGACCGATGCCGCTAAGAAGAAGCAAATGAGGGCTTCCGATTGCACCGGACGATACTATGATCTCACTACCTTGTCTCTTCGAGAGAACCGCTTTGTGTGTCTTCCCGTTTTCGTCTTTGAAGATAACTCCAACCGCTCTCGGATTCTTCCCTGCTATAATAAAAACACGAAAAAAAAATGAGATCAAAGCAGGTTTACTAAACGAGTCACTAAAAAGCAATATATACATACATACTTGTTTTTGTGTCGAACACGATTTTCTGAACGGAGGCATGCACTAAAACGTGGATATTTTGGCGGTTGGCGGAGGCGAGAAGCTCGGCGGCAGTGTGGCGGCGGCCGAATCTGTCGAATATGGTCCCACCGACTTTGGTTCCGTACAAGTGGTCATACGTAAAACCGTTGAAAGGTGAAATTCCGATTTCGACCAGGCTATCACGCACTGTTTTCTGCCACGGTACAAGATTCGGGCGGTGAACTATTTGATCTTCGACCCACGGGTATGATTCATTTACCAGTTTATCGTCCCATCCTACACTCTTTACATAACTTCACAAAAAAAATTAAAATTAAAATTAAAATTAAAAAATCAGTATAATTCTTTGTTGTTTTTTATTTTAATTAATAGTTTTTAAGGAAGCAAATTGTGATGGGTCTGGGAGTTGTTAAGGTGTTATAAATGAAATTGAGCTATATTTTACAACTTCTTTGAATGTGTATTTATGTATACCTAACTAACTATGTATATGTATATGGAAGGACCAGCTAAAGAATTTATTTATTTATTTTTTATTTTGGAAAAATAGGGATTTATTAATTTATATTATGGTGAGATTAATTCAAAATAATGAATTTGACAAAGACGTAGGAATTTATTATATAAATGCATCAATCCTAGTAGTTGTTGTTGGTATTAATGGCACAAACCTAACACAATATTCACTTTTGTTTAGGGGTGTAAATCGGACGAAAAATTTCGATTTTTTTCAGAAGTGAAAAAACAATTTCAATTTCATTCTAAAAAAAAATCAGAAAAATCGAAATTCAGAATTTAATATACATTCCATTGTGTGAAAAAAATCGACAAAATTGGAAATCGAAATCTAATGAATTCTCAAAAAAAAAAAAATTGTTCCATAATATGAAATGTTTGGATGAAAATCGGCACAATTCAAAAATTTCGTTCCAATTTCCGTCCTTACCTTTTGTTAGTTAGTTGACTTTCATATCAAATTTGAGAAATTAAAGAAACAATATAATCTACTACTTATTTATCAAAAAAATATAATAATATAATCTACTACTTTCAACCAATTTTTTTTTTTTGGAAAAACAAAGTGTGAAAATATGACGTCATAATTGAAATTTTGGGAGAGTTGTACCTTGCGCTTGCCCGGGTGTAAATCCGGCGTTGATGCAAGTGCCGCCGCCCAAAACCCTGGCCCTAGAATTGAAAACCCCATCGGTGGAGATGAACATCTGCGACGCCGACGTCGGCGATATATCCGCCAGAGATATGTGGAAGTTCTCCATGAACGACACATTCGCGTTCGCAAACGGCGTCCCTCCTCTCTCCAGCAGCAAAACGGTGTAGTTTCGCGACAGCGTCGCCGCCAGCGGGCACCCCGCCGTCCCTCCGCCCACAATTATGTAGTCGTACGCGGCGGTCAACGGCTGAGACGAGAATGAGCTGGCCGGTCTGATGAACGGGTACCGATATTCCGCCGGATGCTCTTCCTGCACACCTGCATTTGGTAAATTCTATGCTCAATTTTGTAGCAATTGATTTGAATTGTTCTTAGATTAACACTCATAATTACACACTGTGTGTGTGTGTGTGTGTGTGTGAAAGACACAATCTTTGATAATAAATAAATAAAAAATCCTTATTTTGTTTTCCCAATTTTGAATTTCTGAGAAAACACACAGAATCACACACTTTGTGTGTGTAAAGACACAAGCTTTGACAAAAAAAAAAATTCATATATTTTTTCCCTTTTGTCTCTATTGTGAAATGTTTTGATTTGGACACCTGCATTGGTAAAATTCTATGTTCAATTGTAGCCATTGATTTGAATTGTTTCTCCTTTTTTCTGAGATCACACACACTTGTGTGTGTGTGTGAGAAAGACACAATCTTTGATGATAAATAAATTAAAAAATCCTTAATTTTTTGTCCCAATTTTGAATTGGTTTTATTTTCTGAGATAACACACAGAATCACACACTCTGTGTGTGTAAAGACACAATCTTTGAAAAAAAAATCATATTTTTTGTCTCCATTGTGAAATGTTTTCAACATTCCCTTTACACAGAAACAGAAGAATCTCGAATCAAGAAAGAAAAAAAAAACACAGAGAACACGTGTTTGTGTGTGAGAGAGAAAAAAGAAGAAAATTTATAAGAACTAACCTTGAGAGAAGGAGAACACAGTGGTGATCCATACAATTAGTAAACACAAAGCTGGTGCTGCACAGTCACCACCACCAAGCAAAGCCATTGGGAGGCAGCCAAACCAACACAGAAATTCACACACACAAAACACACACACTGCAGGTGAGTTTAGTTTCAAAATTCAATTCTAAATTCAATTCTCTCTCCTAAAAACTCAACCACCACCCCTGCAAAAAGGGTTCTTAGTTTCTTGATGTGGCTCTCTCTGGTTGGCCTTGTTCTCTGTGTGTATCTATATTATACTACTATTTTATAATCTTTATATCTCCCTGCACACACATATATATACAGAGAGAGAGAGAGAGAGAGAGAGAGAGAGAGAGTTTGTTTAACTAATCAAGAAGGCTAAAGGAATGCATTAATGAAAAAGAGGAAGTAATTATGAATTACAGAAAAGCTAGAAACAAATTATCACAACTGGAAAATTGCATTAATGGAGGAAAAATGAATGGGCACGGTTGGAGAGGTCATTAATGCATGCTCGCCGTTTCGATGTATGTATCATGTATGCAATACGCTCTCGGTTGGAGCAACTGAGCATGTGTCAATCGACTTACGTTCGGAATCCTCTTACCAACGGTCGTTAGGTCGAGCTTATCACACATGGTTAGCGTAGTGTGGTTTATGTCTCTCGTATGGTTTGCAAGCTATTATACGAGTATTATACGAGAGTGTACGTTTACCCAGTGCATCATAAAATCTAGTTATGGATACAGTATATACGTACACATTTTGGACAGCTCACACACAAAAGCCAGACCTGCAAATTTTTTTTTTTGCTTATCTCATGAAGAAACTCTTATCTCTACCCCACCCCATAGTAATTAGGCCACATTTAAATCCAACCAACTAACAAATGTTGTTTGTTTCTTTTCTTTTTTTTTTGTGTGTGTTTTTACTGTGTGTATTTATGTGTGTGTATATAAATATAAAGATAGTATGGTGTTTGTATGTATAATAATCATATATACTATCATGTGAAGTTTTTGATGGTTTTGTTGCAGTTGCTGCTTTTATTCCAACTGGGAGAGTTCTTGTGAATGGAATTATCTTGGGCGCTGTGTTGAACTGAAATTCATTAACCTTAATTTCATTATATATAAAACCTTTTATTTATTTATTATTATTATTATTATTATTTTATTTTTATTTTTTTGTGGTGTTATGATATATTCCCAAAACAATTTGACTCAACTTATTACATTCAAATACAACAAAATGCATATACACTAATAAATACTTTGTTACATGATTACAAAAATACAAAAAATTACCAATTTTCTTTTTTTTTTTATATATACAAATATATGGTGAAATAATATTTTTTTTAATTTGATTAGCCTATTCGTGTACGAAATATTTAATGTTACGGATCGTTTTCCTTGTCGGAATAATATTCTAGGAGGATTCGGGGTATTTTTCAATGCTCGTTGCGTTGGTAATAATTTTGCGTGCGTGCGGGAACATATCCATATCATTTCAGCAATTTGAATAATGTTTTTTTTTAAGTAAAATTATTGATATAAAAAAAATTGATGGCACAATACATATTAAAGATGGTAATATTATTAAAACAGGAAGTTTCATAGCCATTAATTAGTATAGGATCCACAAGAAGCACAAAATT